TAGTGGTTCAATTTTACGAGTAGGAAAAGATGAGCATGAACCAGCATTTCTATTGTTTACTGGATCACATTGATGGAAGAGTATTTGCCCATGCTTTTCTAATGTTCATAAACTGTTTATAATTGATACCCATTTATTCACCACTCATTTCTATCTATTTATAATTTAACAGTTTATAAACACTTCCCAAACAAGCTTTTAGTTGGGAAAAAGTGCGTCTTCCCAAACCATTTAAACATCGTAATGAGACTATTATGCTACATTAACCTTGAGCATCACCTTTCATGGTATGGTACCGTGGACTATTTTCAGGAATTCTTTTTGTGAAGGCTGTAGCTTTAACATACTGATTCAGAATTATTACAAATGACAACTTAAAGATTAGAAACTACAGAAGAACAGTGGAGGACTGTGTACATATTGGTTATGGTTTTTCTAGGCCTGAACCCTACCTTTCCACGTATAGTAAGGAAAAATATTACGCAATGGGAGGAGTAAAAATATATTGGTTGTGGTTATAGGGCTTTTGGTGTAAAAATTGAGGAGCTATGGATTTACTACATTATTGATAATAAAGTCCTTTTGCGTCTGAGACTCTGTATGTGCACAATGTACACATTTATTGTCTTTTTGAACAATTCTTCCCAAAATCTTACTTTTTTGTGTTTCTGCACTTCGTGGTTATTAACTGATAAGATTCTCGGGAGCCTTGGTCAAATATTTCACTTCTGTTGCATATCCAAAAGTATGCATGATGTGCTATTCTGGCTACTTGTGCTCGTTGCCTGTTTGGTGCATCAGTTTTAGATATGTTTGTTGTCTTTTTTAATTTGCCTTTACTGGTAATCAGATAGGTATATTGTTTGTTGTAAAGAAAAATGGTTAAAAGGTAACTTTGCTTGAATTGTTACTCAACCAATTATGCTTTAATGTACTTGGTGTTTAGACCGTTAAAAGGATAAGATGAGTATAAAATGAATATAGAAAACTTGAAAATATTGGTGTTTGTGTGGTTATACTAGAATGGATTAAGATTTAGACCAATAAGTAGAGGTGACACAAATTGAGGTTAAATTAAGGAAAAGATGACTTGCATTGTTTGGACATTTCTGTGTGATACCTTGTATGGCTAGATTAATCTTTTACTGTGTGGAGAACTTTTTGGAATATCATGTAACATGTCAGTTGTGGGAGACATGAGCGAGTCTGTAAATTATTCGGTTGGTGCTGATCGTATGGTTTGATTACACTCACTCAAAATGTTAAGGGTTTGGTAATACAATTGAAAGTTCAAGGTGACACGTTTCAAATAAACAATAGTATGAAAGGACAGATTTTGCTTTCCTTTTTATTGTACATGGTCTACGTCGAGAGGAGATTGAATTCTTGGCGACACTGTGATGAATTGAAGACATGAGTTGCTTAAGTTCTTGTTTTTGTAATGTAATTTCCTTGATTTGCTGTGGTTTGTTTTGAACTATGAACTATGGCTATGATACAGTTACTGAATTAACATTACTACTGAAACTAACTCTGATCTTCTTACTACTTCCTTAGAGAAGGAAGAGTTGACAGTAGAGCTATTTCTACTTTAGTACTAATGAATCATTACTTGTGTTCTAACACTGGATGAAAGTTTCACCAAATTACAATTATGTAATTTTTTTTTTCCTCTTCCTTGTCCCCAGGTTACTGATGCTCCAGAAATACACTCCAATGGATTTCATCTTAAATTTGATATAACTGAAGGCCAGATTGGTTTTGTTTTGCCCACAATTGTTCCTCCCTGTAACATTGACTTGTATACGAGATTGGCTTCTGGTGATACTGATGAACTGAATCGTAACTCTTGGAACACATGCATAGTACTTCCTTTTAGATTGAACCTGTCTGAAGGCATTTCCATGAATAACATCTTATCTATGTTCTCAGATCTTCATCCATCTTTGCTACTTTTTCTTCATCGTCTTCAGTGCATTAAGTTCAGAAACACACTTGATGATTCATTAATTGTTATGAGGAAAGAAGTTATAAGTGATGGGATTATAAAAGTTGCAATAGGGAATGAGAAAATGACTTGGTTAGTAGCATCTCAGAAATTGCAGGCTCATGTCATTCGTCCTGATGTACAAACAACAGAAATCTCGATAGCATTTACATTGCAGGAAACAGTTGACCGAGAATTGGTTCCAATTCTTAACCAGCAGCCTGTTTTTGCCTTTCTTCCTCTTAGAACATATGGTCTTAAGTTTATTCTCCAAGGTGATTTTATATTGCCTTCATCAAGGGAAGAAGTTGATGGAAATAGTCCATGGAACCAGTGGTTACTCTCTGAATTCCCAGGCTTGTTTGTTGGTGCAGAGAGATCTTTTTGTGATCTTCCTTGTTTTGAAGAGAGCCCTGGAAAGGCTGTTGCAGCATTTATGAGTTATATTCCACTTTTGGGGGAAGTCCATGGGTTTTTCGCTAGCCTTCCACGGATGATACTTTCTAAATTGCGCTTGTCAAATTGCTTACTGCTGGAAGGTGATGAGAAAGAATGGGTTCCTCCTTGCAGGGTTCTGAGAAATTGGACTGACCAAGCTCGTTCTCTATTACCAGATAATTTACTTCATGAGCATCTTGGCCTTGGTTACTTGAATAAAGATATAGTTTTATCTGATACGTTAGCAGTGGCTTTAGGTGTAGAAGATTATGGACCCAAAATTTTACTTAAGGTTATTATTTCATTGTGCTGTTCAAATAATGGTCTGAAATCAATGGGCTTCAGTTGGTTATCTTCTTGCCTCAGTGCCATTTATGTGTTGTCATCCCATTCTTCCGGTCAAAGTCCCTCCAGTCGTGGGACTGGATCGGATATCACCTATGAACTTCGGAAAGCCCCATTTATCCCTCTTTCAAGTGGTAAATATGGTACAGTGGAAGAAGGCACCATTTGGTTTCATTCTGATGTAGCAAGTCTAGGGATCAATGATGAATCCGTTTTCAAGGTTTTCCCTAAACTGTATGATAGGCTGCGGATTGTGAGTCCCAACCTCATTTCTGCAGCTGCTTCTGTTGAGAACTCATCCTCTGACACGTCCATAGTGGAGAATGTTACAAGGTTGCTTTATAGAGTTGGTGTTCAGCAGTTATCTGATCATGAAATTGTGAAGGTTCACATCCTACCAGCTCTCTCTGGTGGTGGAAGTGGATTGGTACAGGAAGAACTGATGACAGAGTACCTCTCTTTCGTAATGTTCCACCTACAATCAGGTTGTACTACCTGTAGCTCAGAAAGGGGGGACATTGTTTCAGAGTTACGTGATAAGGCTCTGATCTTAACAAATTATGGCTATAAACGACTTAGTGAGGTTCCAATCCATTTTAGTAGAACCTTTGGAAATCCTGTTGATGTAAATCAACTAATTACTGGCCTTGATGTGAAATGGCACGAAATTGACGCGGCCTATTTGACGCATCCAATTACCAAATTACTATCTGGTGGAATGTTGAAGTGGAGAAATTTCTTACTAGAAATAGGAGTAACAGATTTTGTGAAAATAGTTCAAGTTGAGAAGTGTATTTCTGGTATGCCTCACGATGCAATGAAGACTACAATGTGGAATGGAGACGCATTTTCAACAAGGTCAGAGGCCAAAAATTGGGAATCTGAAGAGTTGTTTCATTTGCTATCAAAACTGTCTTCGAGAGGCAATCAGGAAAAGTGCAAGTACTTCTTGGAGGTGCTCGATACATTATGGGATGACTATTTTAGTGATAAGGTTTCCGGTTATTGCATTGATTCCACTGGTGAAAGCAAACCATTCAAATCATCACTTATATGCGTCCTCCAAGATGCTTCGTGGATGGTGTCTAGTATAGATAATGAACTTCATTTTCCTAAAGATTTATTCCACGACTGCATAGCAGTTAACTCGGTTCTGGGCGTTAGCGGCCCTTATGCCATTCCGAAGGTTAGTTTCAGTTTCATATCTCTGGGTTATATATTTCACCATTGTCTTAGAAAAATTTCACACTTCTTCTCAGTTCTAATATATACTTTTGAAGTTACTAGTCTGCATTTAGGTTTTTACCTGCTTCTCATTGCTATCCTTCAGAAATTACTCTCTCTCTCTCTCTCTCTACACACACACACACACACACGTGCGCATATACTTGAGAGTTATTTTATGTTCCATTTGAGTCACATAATGAATTGATATCAGAGTTACAGCTGGTAAAAAAGGATTTATAGAAATATTCTTTTTCTAAGAGTTAAATTCAATAGGCTCAACAACCCCTGTTTAGTCTCATTATTTTTTTTCTGTGCTCTTATCATTTCCCCAATCTTGTACTCAGTGCAACCAAAAATATAGTGATTTATTGTTTTAGCATTTTGCTACGTTTGAACTGAATATTTTACTTATTCCAGGCTTAAATCTACCGTAGAAACAGCTGAATGTATCTCTTAGCAAAGCTTGCAAGGGAGAAACAACATGCTCATAATACAACTATGATATATTTCTATGATATTGTTAAGGTGTTTTAATTTTCGTGTGTATTATGTCCGAGATGTTTCTACTGCGGCATTATAAAATCGTGTTTGCCTTTTACCATGAGGCTTTTGTTTGCACTTTTTTCCATCTATTATAATGTGTATGACAGTGTTGGATTTGACATCGTCTATCATTTTTCCGCCTCTCTGATGCAAAGCATCATCGGGGCCCATAAGATTGTGATTTACAATCTTCTCATCCATGCCTATGTATGTTTTCCATATGATATGCTCCCCTAAAGTGCTCCATAAATGAATGTTCACTGCGTCACTGGCCCAATTATTTATTTTTTCTCGAAAAAAGTAGTTCTTCTCCAAGATTGATTACCAAAAGATGAATTCAGTGTTATCATCTTTTTTACATGTTATGAATGTATTTTGCAAATAAACTAAAGAAAAGTACATTGTTTCAACTTGAAACAGGTGAGGAGCAGAAAGTTGGTAGATGATATTGGTCTAAAAACTCAAGTTACTCTTGATGATGCTTTATCTATTCTAAAACTTTGGAGAAGACCTGACATATCTTTCAAGGCTAGGTATGCTTATTTGACATATTTGATGTATTAAGATTGCTTTTTCTTCCCAGTTCCGGCGTACTAGGATAAATTGAAACGTGTTTATTTGCTTTGTATCCGATAGTCATTTTGGAAACTTTAAACAGTGGGGGAAACTTCATCCCTTATCTCTTCCATGTGGGGCATGTCAGAAAATGTGCTGAGAAAAGAAGTATACTCTTTTGCAAAGCTTTACCTCTTCCTGATATTGAACTCACACTGTAATCTGTTAGATTAAGTGATTAACTAAGACTATCTTTGATTTACTACCTCTTTCCCTTTATTTATGTTTACATTTCTTCTGGGTGGGTGGGTTGGTTGTAGGGGGTGGATGGAAGGGCAGAGGGGTGGTATTGATGTCAGCTTGGTCATTTTTTGTTTTACTACTTCCACATTTTTCGAAATGACACCGTAATCAGAAATTATGGATTCTTCTTTTTTTATTTTTTTGAGAATGCTATCCTACCATGAATGATTGATATTGTTTCAAAGCAAACCAAACTCTCTATGCTATATTGATTTTTATTTTATTTTTTATTTTTTTAATATCTCCGTACCTTTTCTATTCATATATCATTTCTCATCCTTGAGATTACTCTGATTCCCTTTTTTTTTCTTCCCTGAAATGACATGCTTATTCAAGTGATATTTGACTTTGTCATTCAGCGTCTCTCAAATGTCAGATTTTTACACATTCATCTGGAAAGAAATGTCTACTTCAAAGCAGAAAATAGTGGAGGAATTACATTCTGGACCTTTTATTTTTGTTCCATGTGCATCCGACTCTTCACGTGAGGATGCAATACCTGGTGCCTTTTTATCACCTCAGGAAGTATATTGGTACGATAGCACTGGTTCCATGGACCAAATGGAGTTGAATGATCAGGACCGTGTTTCAGATATTGCAAGTTCCTTGAGAAAAATGCTACGTAATTTTTATCCTAACCTTCATGACTTCTTTGTAAATGAGTGTGGAGTGGACGAGATTCCTCCTTTCCTTAGCTACCTCGAGATTTTGCTTCAGTTATCTACCATTGCTTTACCTCATCAGGCTGCAAAGACAGTAAGAAATATAAACTGGAATTGACATCATCTCAATCCTTGCTACCTTACTCATGAATATTATTTGAGTATTCTTTTATTTACTACAGGTTTTCCAGGTTTTCTTACAATGGGGTGATGCAATAAAATCTGGATCGATGAGTTTGGAAGATGTTGAATACCTGCAAGATAGTCTTCTGAAAAAGGAATATGCTGTGCTTCCCACTAGACAAGATAAATGGGTTTCTCTACACCCATCATTTGGTCTTGTCTGCTGGTGTGATGATGATGATTTAGGAAGGGAATTCAAGCATCTTGAAGGTGTCAACTTCCTGTACTTTGGGGAATTTCCTGATGAAGAACATGCAATGCTTCAAGCAAAGATCTTAATCATTATGAACAGACTAGGGATTCCTGCTCTTTCAAAGGTTCCCTCCCCCTCCCCCATCATGATGTTTAATCTTAATATGAATAGTGTAAAATTAGAACACTCTCTCCTTGCTCTGTTTGCTTGTATTTGTGTTTCTTTTCTGTATGTACATGTTTCTGATTGGAGGTGAGAGAACAAGCGGTGGTTCCACCTATCTGGATATTGTTATTTTTTGACAGGCAGTTGTGTGGCGATAAGTACAACAAATTTCTATACTGGACATCTTTTTTCTCATATGATCACTCAAGAATTAATATACTGTGTAATTTGAACTCCTAAGTTATTATAACGGTCAGATGGGCTGCATTATTTCTTTGATAGATCTGTATGGAACTTTCTTCTGTAGTTGGTCTGCAATTTTACATCTAATCCCAGGATAAAATCTTTGCATTAGAATTTTTTTTGCAATATGCAAAAACTAGAAGGTTATGTTTTATTGACATCTTTTCACTTATGCAACGTAACTAAAAATGCATCTGTGTAGTTAAATTTTAACAAGATTATAGCATTCATTATAGAAAGTTTTGTAAGTTTCTATATGATGTTCAAGTCAGTCATGATTTATGCATTTAACTTCTTACTCTTGAACTTTATTATGTTCTTGTCCGTTGTGACACCTACGCTTGAATTATTCACAGTTTTCTTGATTATGATTGCGTATTTGTAGATTGTAACTCGCGAGGCAATATATTATGGTCCAGCGGACTGTAGTTTCATATTTTCTCTGGTGAATTGGGCTCTTCCTTATGCTCAACGCTACATCTTGAATGCGCATCCAGATAAATTTTTTCAACTGAAGCAGTCTAATTTTGAAGATCTGAGGCGTTTGCAGATTGTTGCTGTTGAAAAGTTGTTTTGCCGTAACGTTATGAAGTGCGAGATTACATCAAAGAAAAGATATGAATGTAGTTGCCTTTTACAGGTACATAATACTTACTATATCCGTGCCTTACTATATCCTTGGCATTGTTTCCTTTTTCTCTTTGAAGTTCTAATAGTGGCCTGGCAAAGGTCAATTGCGACCTTGTGATATCACTTCATGTTGCATAATTTTTTGGATCAATTATTTTGCATCATCTTTCTCAGAGCATAAAATCTTGTAAAAGTAGCTGCTGGTGGTTTATTTCCTTTTGAGCTTCTCCTTCACGATGGTATATTACTTAACGGTGATTGCATAGGCCAACATGGTTCAAAGACAATGTTACCATGAAGTCCACTTTGGTTTGATCAATAACCTTTTCCTTCTGATAAATTTTTGCAGGACAACATCCTATACTGCAGTCAAGAATCTGATTCCCACTCAATATTCATGGAACTTTCTCGCTTACTATACGATGGAACTCCTGAATTGCACTTTGCAAATTTTCTTCACATGATCACAACCATGACAGAATCAGGTTCAACCGAGGAGCAAATAGAGTTCTTCATTTTGAACAGCCAAAAGGTGCCAAAACTCCCTCCCGATGAACTTGAGTGGTCCCTTTCAGTGGAGAACAATGCAACACTAGTGGAAAATTCTGTTTCAAAGAGGACAGAGGAACAAAACCCTACGGTGTTCCAGAGGAGACCGGGCATCAACTCAAATTGGCCACCTGCTGATTGGAAAACTGCACCTGGTTTTGATTCTGCCTGTCGTACATTTGGATTCAATACATCGGCTGGCAGCAGCCTGCAGCAAACTACAAAGAGGGATGGTGTCACAGAAAATCTTGAAAAATCGGTGGTTGAGGTTGGCAGTGAATCGATTATAGACAGTGATCCAATTGTAATCATTCCAGCAGCTTCACCAGATGCTGAGATTTCAGAAAGTCAGTTTAATTTGGCAAGCAACACGAATGATTCTGATATGAATGTGGCACTTGATTCTGTTGATCTCGTCGATAACTTAAATTTTGGTTCATCAAATTCTATCGAGAGAGATCACTTATATGTAAACGCCGCCAATGCACAACAGGCATTGTTTACAGGGAGACTTGGAGAATCTGTAGCTTTCAAATATTTTACCGAGAAAGTCGATGGAATGTCTGTGAAATGGGTCAATAAAGCTAATGAGACTGGGCTACCCTATGACATTACTATAGGTGGTGATGAAAATAGGGAATACATTGAAGTCAAAGCAACCAAATCAGCAAGAAAGAATTGGTTTGTTATATCAATGAGAGAGTGGCAATTTGCAGTTGAGAAAGGTGAATCTTTTAGCATAGCTCATGTGATTTTATCCGGTAACAAGATGGCAAAGATTACAGTATATAAAAATCCAGCAAGACTCTGCAAGCTTGGTAATCTAAGGTTAGCGATGGTGGTGCCAAAATAGCTGGAGTTGTCTGCCAAGGACTGTGTTATGATCCACTACTATTAACAAGAAGCGCTTCCTCGTATATTTGGCCCTTGGATTAAAGCGTGCTGCTATGGTGCAGCAATATGACCAGGGTCGCTATACGAAAAATGCAGCCAGATTTGTCTAGGCTGGTAATTTAAAGTTAGCAGTCGCGCTTTGTTTAGATAACTTAATTTTTTGCCCCCTTTTGGGTAATTACAATTTTGGGGCTCCCCTGATGTCAATATACCATATACCGTGAGCCGCTTACTCAGATGTTTTCCAGTTGGGTAAGCACATACAGCAACACTGAGATTGTCTTGATGTGGATGAAGAAAACATTGGTCAACTTACTGCAAATATGTTTGGTGATATTGACAAAGATTTTGTATATGGCGAAACAGCCAACAGAATTTGTAGCAGCATTGCATTTTCAGGTTCATTTTTCATTTGTTATAGATTTGTGGTTCATTATTATGATTAGTATAGTCTGTACTCTCTAAAAGACAGGTGACAAATGTACAGTTATACGATATAAATTTATTTGGATCTTCTCTTTGCTGGTAAAACCAACGTCTATGTGGAAAAATCCTTTTTTGTTGATTTAGAATTGGAGCAACTTGATGTGTGTGCAACTTTCTTTGTAATCGAGTTAGATATAGAAGCATATTTTTGTATATAATATAACTAGAGGGCCTTATATAACAAGACAAACACCCAATTTGTTTACAAACTCAATAAATCTCTATATTATTAGTCAAAAACATATCACCAAATCATAGAATGCAAGAAATTTGATGCATCTTTTTGGGTGTTACGTGGAGTGTCAATATAATTTTTCCATTTATTATGCAAAATATGACCAATTTGGGCAAGTAAGAATAAACTCAATTAAGTTTTTAGGTCCCACCTTAAAAGAACTTGCCTTCACATAGCAATACTGATCTATTTATTTAAAAAAAACGTAAATGCTACGTTATGTTAAAGGTTTAACACAAAGTAAAATATTCATCTAAAGTTGTTTGGTACAATGATTTATTCTTTAGAGTTGTTGCGGATCTTTGAACTTGCGATTGTCAGCATGCTCTCCGAAAATGGTTGAAGGAATGAATTGCAAGTCATTGTTTGAACTTTTCCAACCATCCATTAAATTCAAATGAGGCAGCATCGGGATAGAGTTGCCTTAGAAAAATATTTTCCCTCTCTTTTAGCGATCCACCACTCATATTGACAAGCTTTTGATGCCATACAAACCATTCATAGAGTGCAGACTTCTTTGAACATTTTGCATTTGGTCAACAATGCTTCTTCTTGGTCGTTCGTGTATTAACTTTGGGTGGCATGGATTTTCAAGAGGAAGAAGGAAATGTATCACTTGAATTGGTTGAAGATTGCGTGGAATGTGTTATATACAATGTTTTTTTAGAATTTATATTGGAAAACAACATTAATGAAAATAAAAATAAAAAATTAGACTCTTAATATGACAACATAATTTCAACATTACATATATACATGTATTAATTTCTTAAAATTATATTATGCCCTTATTTGATCTCCATTATTCTCAAAACTTATTTTCAACCATACATTCTCGATTCTCTCATAAAATAATTTAACTTGTAAATTCAAAATTTTTCCATATTTTCTAACCACACATTCTAGCAAGATTCACTATTCTAAAATACATTATTCCCAAAATAATGGGTATCAAACCAGAGCTATATCTATCGCTTTTATCAATTTAGTAGTCACTGTCACGTGGGTTGCACGAATTTTGTATTTATCGTATTTTTATTAGCGTATGAATTTTAATTTTTTGGAAAGTCTTTGAAGTATTATCTAGAAATATTTTCATGATATAAAAAAAGGATTGCAAATTATTTTTACAATTGTAACAGTATTATGTTATCTAGAAAAAATATGCTTGCATATTTTATGCTTGAATAAAAAATATACGAGATTATACAAACTATTTTGTCTGTATTCTTTAATAGTGTTGATATGATTGAGTTGAATGTTAATATTATATTTCTAAATTTTGTGTAATTCAATATTGAAAAATTGAAGATTGAATAAAAAGTTATAAATCGACTTGAATATTCATATGCGTTTTATATTTTGTCCTTCATATATTTTAATATTTATTTTATGCTTATATTGAAAAAATAAAAATCTAAATTTTTTTTCTGACATTCGGTTTGGTAAGTGAATGTATGATGTACTGCATTCTCGGTATTTGTAAGTGCAAAAATCGGTATATACGGTAAGCTGCAAATATGGTAGGTAGCATATACAGTAAGCTGCAAATACGATAAATTATCTGCATATACGGTAAGCTGCAAATACGGTAGGCAGCATATACGGTAAGCTGCAAATAAGGTAGACAACATATACAGTATTGAAATTTATTGGACGAAACTGGATTCATTCATGCCGTATATGCATTTTACATACCATATATGCAACATACCGTATTTACGCATGTGTTTATAACTTATCGTATATGCAGCATACCGTATTTACAGTATACCGTATTTGCATCATATCGTATATGCAGCATACCGTATTTGCATATATTGTCTTTAGATACCGTATTTGACAGATATTGATTTTTGTACATACCGTATATGCACTTTAAATACCGTATATGCAACATACCGCATTTGCAGCTTACCATATATGCAACAAATCATATTTGCATTATACCGTATTTACAGCATAACGTATTTGTATCATACCGTTTTTACAATATACCATATTTGCACATATTGTCTTTAGATACCGTATTTGTAGATATTGATTTTTGTAAAATATTATTTTCTTTTTTATAATTGTATTTCCGAGAATTTAAAAAGATGGGTGATTATGAAATTGCTAATTTTTAAATGTGTTTTTTTTGTTGAAGATAAAAAAGATTTTTTTATGCTATTTGTAATAATAATAATAAATTGTAAATTTATTAGACCTCTTTCACTGAAACTTAATTACAAGAATCCACCTAAACTAAATGTCTGCATTAATTTTTCTAGTAGCTTTGGGAATTATTAAAGAAATCTAAACTATATTTTTGACTTTCAACTGTCATCCTTTGAAACATTCTAATCTATGTAGATGATTTTTTTTATAGTAAAAACTCCACTTTGGTCAAGTATTATTCCGCTGTTCAAATTTGTTACGTCGTCCCCATGTATCACATTGTATGTCAAACCAAAATCTCATTCTAGCAACCAGGATAAATCACCCCATCTCGTAGAGGTTGATTGACTTACTATAATTTATGATGAGTTGTCATAACTCAAACTCAACCTAACTCAACTGTGATCAAGTGATAAAGTAAGAAGGAACTTTTGATTTTTATCTTCTTAGCCAGTGTACATACCCCAAGTGTGCAATTTAAATTTGATGAAATTGCAAGTTTCATAATGTGCTTATGTAATGTTTAGCATTTTGGAATTTCCGATAATGCCCATATATATCGACCAAAACGGCATAAATTGCAACACTCTAATGTCTGCTTTTCAAATTCTCAAAAATATTCTTCATGGCATCCCATTTCCCCTGCTCCCCTAAGTGAAATGGGTAAGAATGGCCTCCCTTTCCACACCATTTTCAAAATAGAGTTTAATGTAAAAGAAAAAAAATTAGTATCTTCTCCAAACTCTACGGAGAGTTTGGCTTCCACCATTTTCAAAATGAGTTTATGGTTTAAAAAAAATAAAATTACGATGTTTTCCAAACTCTCCGGAGAGTTGGTTTGGAGAGTTTGGACAAACTCTCTATTGTAATAATAATAATAATAATAATAATAATAATAATAATAATAATAATAATAATACGATGTTCTCCAAACTCTCTACTATAAATAATAATAATAATAATAATAATAATAATAATAATAATAATAATAATAATAATAATAATAATAATAAATAAGTAAATACTATATTCTCCAAACTCCGCAAACAGTTTGTAGAGTTTGGACAAACTCTCCAAACAGTTTGGAGAATTCTCTAAACTCTCTGAATAGTTTGGAGAATTCTCTAAACTCTCTTAATAGTTTGGAGAGTTTGGCCAAAGTCTCGAGCTCTCCGAACTGTTTACAGAGTTTGGACAAACTCTCCGAGCAGTCCAAATCGAGTATTTCGTTTTGCTAATTTTATTGTAGATGCTAGCAAAAAAAGAAATTGCTGCGAAGTGTGCATACGCAAAGTGTGGAGTTGCTCTGCACTGTGCAAAGTTGCTCCACTCTCCAAACTGTTTGGAGAGTTCGGATCCAAACTGAGCTCCAAACTCTCCAAACAGTTTGGAGAGCTCCAAACTCTCCAAAACAACTTGGAGAGGCATATATATATATATATATATATTTTTTTTTTTAATCCATTAGTATCAAACTCTCCAAACAGTTTGGAAAGTCATAGATTTTTGTAATTTTTTAATCCATTTGTATCAAACTCTCCAAAAAGTTTGGAGAGTTTGGCCAAAATTCTTAAGACTCTCCAAACAATTTGGAGAATTCTCCAAACTCTCCAAATAAGCCAAATTCTCGAACTCTCCAAACTGTTAGGAGAGTTTGGACAAACTCTGCGAACAGTCCAAACCGATTCTAGCAACAACAATAAACGCTACTAAATATCAACCTGATAAACTGAAGGTCTTTAAACGTCCATCAGAATGAACTGCAGAATGAGGTTGCATTTCATTCATCAGATTTTTCAGTTGAGGATTCTTAATGCACGTCTGTTTTGTCTTTCTTTCACAAGCTCGCCTATTCTTAAATCAATCAGCAACATTTTTTTCAAAAATAACAGGATTATGTAGCGATAAAATGGAGATTATATGTAGAATTTCTACATTATTTGACTTTTATTTCCTCCATCAAATATGCATCGAAGAAAATCAACCTCTGTAGATGTAGGTATATGGTAGCAACCTCTATAGATGTAGGTATACGGTAGGCAGCATATACGGTAAGTTGCAAATACGGTAGACAATATAAATGGTATGCTGCATATATGGTAAGGTGCAAATACGGTAAGGTGCAAATATGGCACTCTCTCCGCACAGTGCAGAGAGAAAAACCAAACTCTACGCACTGTGCGGAGAGATGGTTTACAAATTATAAATCGACGTATATGTAATATACCAGATTTTGCCATTGTCCTCTTACTTACTCCCATGCTACAAATCACAATTGAGCCGCCTTTTTGTCCTTTAGAACATTTATGATTTTCTAAGACCCTTCAATGTGTTTTTTTAGTAAGCTTTAACAAATCAACAGTAAAAGAAAAAAGAATTATTCCCAAGTAAATGATCAATTCTATGTGCAAAATTATATGAACTATATGAGATTGAAAAGAAATTTGGTTGATAGGATTGAAAGTTTCCCTTTATTTGTTATTATATTGATTTTAACTGGGTGGGTGTTTTGTGTATCATTTTGGCACGTAATTAAACAATAAAGCTAGTTTCTATCTATGGAACTATTTTGTTACCTTAGTACGCAACCTTTCGTGAATCTTTGAATATTAGACTATATTTCATCAATTCTACTCTTTAGAAATTGTTGTAGCTGAAAATAAGGAGTATGGTTGGCTAGTATGGTCGCTGAAAATAAGGAGCAAAAATCAAGATGGACGTGTGCTAAAAAAGAGAAAGAAAGAAGGAAAAAAAGAAATTCGACAGCAAAAAGTAGGAAAAATATATAGACAAAAATAATGTCATTTTTTTTTCTCTTCTACAGTAAATTGCAATTCATTTACTGTTTCATCAACAGTGGCAACCTGTTAATGTTTTTAATAGAAGTTAGATATACCTTGAACTGGACGTACTTTATTAATTAATTATATTGGAGTGGTGCATACTGTAGCACCTCGATACCACTTGCTACAAGGATAATTAAGTCAAAATAAGAATTTTTTATTTTATTTTTTACTACACCTCTATTAAATTTTAACATCTTCACAATCATAAAATTAGTTTGATCCCAATGGTATGACTATAGATAGACTTCCGCATCTCTTCACGTTAAAAAAAATTAAAGCGACGAGATCTCGAAGGAGTAAAAAGTTTGAACACTCAGTGAACTTTGCTTACTCTCATGTTATAGCCACCGAGCTTTCTTTTTACCACGAATGGTCACTCAACTTGCTCAAAACCAAGTCCATCCATCACTGTACATTCACCCGTTTGATTTGCTTCCCAGGTGGCAAGACAGAGTCCAGCGTGGCAAGAGACGACGTCATAACGTTGCCACGTGAAGAGTTGTGTCCCAACAAAACAACTATTTCACCCAAAAAATTACAAACCCACCTTCAAATCAAGGAGCCCCAATCTTCCAAGCTGGAAACAAACCCTAGAAATCCCTCCCAAAACTCAAGATTCAATCCCTTGATTTCCTCAAACCTCAAATGAACCCTAGAAATCGAGTTGGGAACAGCGACGGGTTGCCGTATTCTTGTCTCTTTCTCGGGGGTGGTAGGAGCGAGAGAGCTTCTCCGTCCCTCCAATCAGTGAAGTCCGACCACTTTTGAAAGGGTGACGATTCGCACGTATTGATGGAGCAGATGGAGGTAAATCATTTGGCATATTTGATTTACAATGATTTCAATGATTTTTTCAAATTATGAGTAACCTGCCAAAAGATTTGTAAATTGCATTGCTGGCAAATGGCAGACAAATTGGAGGAATCAGCTATGGTTTTTTTTTTTATTTAACTGTATGATGTTAAAAAAAAATTCTCAAAATTTTGCTGAACCTTCTGCTCTTTGTCTTGAATTCGACGTGCCTTTGGTTCAGAGATCCCGCCAGCAGATCCAATTATACATTTTCCAGGTCGCTTAGAAGGCGGTGGCACTCTGCAAATCGAATTGGGGGAGAGTTCTGATGGGAATGGATTTAGGCAATGGGTTCAGAATTTAGGGACAATGGGGAATTTTGATTCTTTCAATGAAGGATCGTGTTTTGTAGCTTGAAATCATGTCCATGTTGGCTGAGTTTGACGCCGTCCAATTGCCACGTTGGCTGCCATCAAGCCATGTGGGACGGTTACAAACGGCTGGGACGCCAGGTGTTTGATGGTGTGGTGCGTTTGGAAGGTCAGCGACCGTTCAGCCGCAAGAGGAAGTTCAGTGACCACAACGTGACATAGGGGAAGTTAGGTGACTAATCAAACTTTTTACTCAATCTCAAAGCTACAGTGATCCTCGCAGATCTAAAGGACAAGAAAGTTGGCATGCTGTAGCTGATTTGAATTCTATGTGAAAGACTATCTTGACAAATATTTATAAGGCTGACAACATGCATTCAAACAGGTCCGCAGACTGAATTTAAAATGTCACCAACATAATAAATGTGTGCTCGTAAAACTCGTCGTCTTCTTATTTTTCATCACAGCAAAACTGATCCGTGTAAAAACATTTTTTAAGATAATCAAAGATAGTTTAATTCAACAATTACTGAGTTCATGTAATCACCTATTGAAGTATAAAAATAAATATGATACAACGGGGAACAGTCAAAATTCAACTACTGCTACTACTTAACCTATCAAAATATTCCCAGTAATCATTTACACTGACTGCGAATGAAACACAGAAAACAAAAACAAAAAGAATGTGATCACTCACATTTACCAAACAACGCAAGAAATTTACCTGCTTCCTTGTGAGGCTGAATGCTATCAAACATTGACTTCTACTGGGCTTTTGGTTTTTGAATCTTCACATAAGGGAAATAACCCAACATGTGCTTAACTCTTGGGTTCCATCCTCGTTGTTGAGCTCGGCAGTACATCAGGAATGTATTTGCGAAGTATGAGTTAAAACCCATCAAGACATGCCACAGTGCATGACCCTGTGGATTGACATACCAGAGCGAGATGTGGTTGCAGAAGAAGCGGTCAATTAAACAACCGAGACTCCCAACTAGTAGAGTGATCACGTACAACTTTGCAAGCCACTTAGCCGATTTATCTTCTGTTTGAATGTAATATTTGTATGCCCGAGGAATGCAAAGAAGACAAAGCACAACGTAATGCACCTTAAAACCAATATCAAAGCGGAGCTGTGAGTGTGCAATAGCAAATGCCGCACCATAGAGGAACAAAAAGGTGGGCATTGTACTTCGATAGTGCCAGTCTGGCGAGTACAGGATGTAGATATAGAGGAGCATTTCCCACACCATAGGTGTTTCATCACCTTGCTGTTGCCTGAAAAATAAAATTCTTTCATTGCATCATTTGTTTAAATGGCCAAATATATAACTGACACTACTGTATGTGAATAGCTTTAACAAATAGAAGAGACTTTTCTCATTGAAAGCTCCCTCAACGAATTCAAAAAGTGAAATAACAAAACTATGTCTGATTTTGCCTGAATGCAAGACTTGAACTTCTCTGTCAGACTCTATGAAAAGCTTGCAGCACTAATTTAGCCAAACTACAAATTCCAAGATATTCTAATGCCAAACAAGCGATGTAAATCATCAATCTACTAGGATGGAGCTGACTTCAGAATATTAAGAAGCAGTTAGAAACAGTTGTCATCGAAATCTTAAGGGGTCAATTCCTAAAATTATCCCAATCAATCACAAACCACATAAAGCCAATAAAAAATAAAAATAAAAAGGAGGAAAAGTTGCCCTTGAAAAAGCAGCTAAAAGACTAACTAGTATATGACACTTATAGACAATTAATAAATTTTGTCAGATATATAATATCCAAACGAAAATATTGATCCAATGCTTAAAGCAGGTAAGAGTTTCATAAACTAACTTTGGAGAGGTCATATAATACCGCAGTAACATATTGTAAATAGCAATTGTTACGTAACATTTAGTATTAAATGAAGTCTGTGATTAGGGTCTTTAAATAACTCAAATCATTCACTTAAGATATTTTAGATACATTAAAACCAAGGATGCATATAAATATAGGGTTTTGACTCTAATCTTCATTTGGTGATGACAAGAGAAGAAAACATGAATGATAAATGCATTAAATCCAAAAATAAAATAAAAATCAACCTAGCCCTTGTTTTGGCTCCATTTTAATGAGGTTTTGCGAAAAATGTATTTTAGAATAGTAATTTTTTAGAAAATGCGTGGTTAAAAAGTAAAGAAAAATTTTGGGTTTATACGTAATAATATTTTATTGAAAAATATGTTGTTGAAAATGAGTTTTGAAAAAATGTATTTTTGGTTTAATGGAGACCAAACAAGGGCTTAGTTTTCATGTAATGGATGTCCTCTTTATAAACCTGAGAACAAGACCCATTACAACTTTGAAGAAGTTCCAAATCCAGGAGCCATCATCACAAGGAAATAAAAAGGAAAACCCCAATGAAAAAAGAGACTGAATGGTTTGGTTCAAACAAGGTGTCTCTACACATAATTAGATTTAATGAGATTATATTCATGTAGAGTTTTCATAATAATCCGCTGTTGGCTTTCCTTCTCTTTCTAAGTATACATTGCAATTGTTTAAAGAGTTATTGAAGTTGTTTCTTTGAACATTACTATAGATTTCTAGACTTGGTCTGTTCTTCTTCCTTTGCAGACTCTGATACACAAAATGATATGCTATGACCACCGAGCAAGTTTTTTTAGCAAAATCTATATTGTAAATAACCATAAAAGCTCCGTCAGCCCTTTATACCACTTAGCCTGACATCGCAAACTCCACAAGCAAAACAGATAGATGAGAAAATACACTAAAAACTTACAGCTGCTGCAATGAGGAGTGATATAGCATGCTGCCAATAGCAAGTGCCATGTTAGATATGTGAAGGATGCTAAATCTTTTCTCAAAACGTTGGCTCAACGAAACCACAAGACCAATGAGTGCTAAAATAATGCTGGGGACATTCGAGATCGTGTTGAAAAATTCGGCAATATAGGAAGAGTAGACATAATTTGGCTCACACCACTCGTGTGTTGATGTAACGGGACCCCAAAAGCTTGATATTTCATCAGCCATTCTTCAGTATGCTAGGCCCAAAATATAACTGCTCTGCAGAAGAAATTGTCAGGATGTTGCTGATCTGAAATTCTACAAATGATTTTAAGCGGCAACTAACTTGAATGTATTTAGACTTAGTCCTGAGCTTCCAAAAGGAATAAAACTAGACATCCATTTGTAGATCCAGAGTATTAGATGGTTCAAAAAAACACAAATTATGTAGAAGTGCTTAGAGGAGTGTATACTTCCCGAGGTGGGTAGAAGAGGGAACACGTCACCAGTGCAACGAAATTAAGCACAAGTAGTCGTGCAGTTCTACCTTTCACCATCATGCTTCTAATCTAATTGATTCACGAATAAATTCATGGATGATAAATTACTTCTATAATCAGCTTTTAATGAAAAAGCGAGATCATGTTTCACTGCATGCATGCATGCTACATTACCAGGCAGATACAACAGATACCAAGTCAGCTATTAAATACTAACCTTTAAGAGATCAACTAAAAATAAAGCCAGCCATTTGCACGTGAAACAAAGATCTAGACCAGATTAAATGGAAGCAGGTCTTCGCTGATATTAGCATCATATTATCTTAATCAAAATATTTGGAATGTCTACACCCGTCACAGAAATCAGAAATGTAACGCAGTATAATGACTTGAATGTGGAGTGTGAACTCTACAGTGTGAAGCTAGCATGATTCAGTTTTGTAACTTCAACCTATGTACAAATAACTATAAATTTTCTCCTCTCTTTCCTTTTTCTTAAGGCGTTGCAGTTTGGGGAACCCAAACTTTTGTAGCTGATTTGTTGGTTTTGGACAAATCTGAAGAAAATTTTCCTTTGAAAATTGAAATGATGACTACAAGCTTCTGCACACTGTCTGACTGTTCTTTTACAGCAACATAAGGGCCCCCCATTGGAAACTCTCGAATGTGCAATTCTTGTGAATATTTTGAGATGGAAGTGTATAAATCACAAAATGAGCAAAGTTTAAAGTTCCACATTTTTTCTTTCCTCAGACACTAAATTTCCATACGGCCAAAATTAGTTCAACAATATCCTAATCCACAGTCACCACAGGCAATGTGTGGTTAAAAAAAAAAATTATATATATCTAAAATAAAATAAAAAAATTGCAGCCTCCCTGCACATATACCAGAAATTACATGAAAATCCACTAAGACCCGAATGCTTTCTGCGTCCTAACCCAATCGGATTTCAAATTTTCTTCCATGAAACTTCAAAAAAATTATTGCACCGCAACAACCCCCATCCCCTCCCCACTCCCACAAAAAAAACCTAAAAATTCACTAATTAAAATGGAATTAATAAATAAGATGAAATCACACAAAGGTATCGATGTATGTAATCAGTGCTATTTACCTTTGCAAGTCAGATCTGATTAATGCCCAATTCAACGCACAAACCTTTTCACTTTTATTCGATTTGTGTGCGGGCGGGCGGGCCGGCGTGATTATATATAATAACTATATATATACGCAATTGAAAATTTATAGCCTACACTTTTCGATCTCATAGTGATATAAATAATTTGTACTTTTGTGTTTGAGTTTTATTAGGGTTCCAAATGCATAAACTGAATCAGATTTCTTTTCTATTTTTTACAGCATGGAATTTTTCGGCGCGTGAATAAGTAGGAAAGTGTATGTCGCGTGTTTTCACTTTTCACGCTCCACTTTCATCTCAATATTTGCCGAAAGGCGAAGGCTTATTAGCATAATAATATTATAATACCCTCAACTTATGGATCTATTGCCAAATATCTCCTATATTTTCAAATTGACTGAAAGTTTTGAACTGCAATTCACCCTCCTATCATCCGATGGATTTTGATATTTGTACATCAGGGTTGACATCTCGATGTACAGATTCCTCACAACAAAAGGACGCTCAAGAAGAATTAAAAAATCGTAGACCCCCTATTGTGAGGGGGTCGGTACACCGAATGTCAATCCCGATGTACGTGCAGCATGGTTCATCATCCGATTTTGTTAGTTTAGACTTTAGACATTAGCTCCCGTTTGAGCCCCATTATTTCTCATTATATTAAATTAAAATTTTCTCTCTCCTACTTTTAACAATACAATCTTCAATAAAATAAAATTACACATAAATCAAAAACTTTTCAACTACTTATTTTTCAAAAAAAATACTATTCATCTCATTATAATCTACAAATAATGGGACTCAAACGGCCCCTAGAAATGTAAATATGACCAAAATTAAAAAGGGATAATTGCAAGTATGGTTCCAAAATTTTTATTTTTTTGCAAATTATACCTAAATTTTTTATTTGCATCAACCACAATCCCAAAATTAGGCATATGAAAAATCAATGTAAGACATAAGTTTTCTACTTACCAAATTTATTAATAATTTTTTTGTACTAATTAGATTATCCCGCATTAGTTGATTTTCTAATATTTCATGCTAATATTAACTAACACAAAATTATTGATATCAATAAAATGAACTTAACTCGACATTAATTAATATAAAATCATCACTGTAAAAAGACTAAGTATTTAATACATTTATGAGTAATGCAATTTATAATTGCTCACTCAATAATTGTCCTACGTAGCATTCTACATGGAGATTTGTGATTTGATATATTAATTTTTTTTTTGTTGCAGATATCAAATTATTAAAAGTCACATGTATGTCACGTATGCGACTACAACAGTGAGTAACTGCAAATAGTATTATTCATTTCACAATACTAAATAAAATAATTTTTTAGATTAATTACATCAATACATTTTTCATAAAAGAATCTTTATGTTTTTTAAGGCCAGGTTTACACAATATTAATGCTGAGATATAAAATAAAATGATCTTATAGAAAGTAAATGTGCATAAATTAAGGATTACACAAGAAAATTATTTCGGTTTAAGTCCCTAATATTCGACGATCACTTTTAATGCCTACATTCCCGTTGAACATCCAATAAATTTGGATTATACTTTGTTGTACTAAATAACCCAAATTGACAACAAAGTTACAAGAGTTTCAACCAATACACAGAGATGGCACAAAACCACTCATCTCTTAAACACAACAACCGATCTAAGAAAAATCACTAAAAATCTTTCAAAAACCCTTTTTGAAAAACAACTTAGAAGACCATCTTATTTTACAAATATCCACTCAGAATATCATAAGCAGAGGCTGGACATTACAGATCAAAATTCTCAAATAAGATTTGAGAGACAATAACCAAGAATTGAAACCCTAGCACCAAAGAGTCTCACTATCTTTTTTCTCTCTCTAAAACCAACAGCCAAGAGATGAAATGAATCGACCCATATTGCCAAATGAAATGGCTTCCAAGAGATAGTGCCCAATAATCATCCAGAAGTAGCAACCAAGGGCCAGGATTAAAACCACATGTCACAATCCAGTAAAACTGTTTTAACTAATAAAGTCGCAATTCACAAAATGTGTTTTCAACTCAAATTTTGGAAACACACGTACATTGTTTAAATCAAATATTTGTTTTTTTTATGGAAAAATATTCTTTATTTATAATTAGATCACAATAGCAAGATTTTAAAACATTAACTGTTTATTTAGTGTCAATTTGTACTAATTTAAAATGAAAAAGATTGTTTATAGTAAAAATGTTTAATATTTTTTGAAAAACAAAGGACTAAGCTTTCTAATATTTCTAGTATTGTAATATAGTTCATGCCCTTAAAATAAAATAGTTCACAACCTCCAAAAGTGAGGTTTAGACACCTATTCCATATTTTGGTCGTATGCCTACGTTATTGGAATGAACATTGTTGAAATTAAAATCGCGCATGACTTTGCATTAAATTTGCCAAATATTAAATAGTTTGATGTCTTACATTTCAATTATGATTTCAAATGTTTACTGTTACACCTCATCACATAGGCTTCGCGTGACACGTGATAGACCATTTAGAAGTCCTTTACGATGAAGTCGCGTGCATTAATGGGGTCTACAAATCCAAAGCATCGAAGCCATACTAACCGAAGCAGTCCCATTCTAATGACGACACCCTGAAGCTACATCCGAGGCCCAAACCATCCACTTGTTGAAGTGATGAAGCTCAACAAAAGTTAGAACCGAAACTCAACCACAAGTGAGGACCCTTTCTCAATGGCCTATTGTGCGAAGATAATGAGCTCGGACCCTGTAGAAGTTGGACGACCTTCTCCTAGTCGATTACAATTCAGTGAGATATCCAATGATGAACTAAGGAGATGTGAGCTCGATTTTCTTGATGAAAGAAGGGATTAATCCCAAGCAAAACTAGCTATATACCGAAGGAAGATGACACATTACAGTAACGCGAGAGTTAAAAAGAGGTCCTTATGGGTAAATGATTTGGTACTTTGAAAGGTGTTCTTGTCTTCCAAAGAACCGGTGGTAGGTACATTAGGACCTAACTGGGAAGGTCCATACCGCATAAAGGAGAAACTACGACTTGGTACTTATTGGATAGAAGACCTAGATGGAAAGGTACAAAATCGTCCATGAACATTGAGCACCTCAGAATATATTATCAATGATTGTACTTTATAACTAGACGATCTTACCTACCCTTTGTAAAAATTTTAGAATGTGAATAAATAAAACTACGTTTCATTCAGATCTAAAGCAAAAACTTTGTTATAAAAGCGTGGGCACCTTGGAGGGTGAGAATCGTATCTTAAAAGGGATTATCTCATTTGTTCTCTGAGGTGCACATCAATTGCCTCCCTTTGACGAAACTAAACACTGGGGAGAAACCCTTATATGAATGAACCATCCACCATGTATGAAAGCGTGGCATCTTGTAGAAGATCATCTGATCCCAAAAAGGATTACCTCAATTGTTCTCCGAGGTACACATCACATGCCTCCCCTTGATGAATCTGAACGTAAAGGGAGAAGCCCTTACACGGATAAATTATCCACCATGCATGGAAGTGTGGACACTTTGCAAAAGAGGATCTGATCTTAAAAAGGATTACCTTATTTGTTCTTCAAGGCGTATATCACTTGCTTTCCTTTAATGAAGTTAAACGTCAGGGGAGAAGCCTTACATGGATGAACCATCTATTATATATAGAAGTGTGGGCACTTTAGAGAGGAGGATCAGATCCCAGAAGGGATTGCCTTATTTTGTTCTCCGAAGTGCACATTACAAGCCTTCCCTGGTGAAGCTGAACATCGTTGGAAAAGGATAAAAGACTACTAAAAAGGTATAGAGTTTCATGTGCTCTCAAGATTATTCAAGTTTGAAATATCTAAGTACTGCAGTTCACTACAAAATAAGTTCGATAATAAAAATATTTAAGTCATGGTCTTTATTTAGGCCACAATTTAGGCCACAAAATAAGTTCTTTATTTAGGTCTTTATTTAGGCCACAAAATAAGTTCGATAATAAAAATATTTAAGTCATGGTCTTTATTTAGGCCACAATTTTGAAGTAGAAAAACATTCATATTATTTAGGCAATAATAATTGAAGCAGGAAAACATTCATTCTATGATCAATGGAAATCTTTACCAGCTAGGGCCGAAGCCAAATTACAAGAAACCAAAATCTACACTATGCTGAAAGTAGTTGGGGATCCGACCCCTCAATAGTAGGCACTTCGACAGTTGGAGCTTCTTGGCCCAAAGCTTTGTCCTTGAAAGCATCCTCTTGGTCCACTTTTACATTAGATTCGACCGTGTCCTCAGTAGGGGTTCTGAGGTACCTCCTTCAAGAACTATGTCATTAGTTCGACAGCATCAAGTTTTAGAAAAAGCTCCCACACCATATCTACCACTTCAATATAGGTAAACCTCCTCCAATAAGCGTCAAAGCACTGATACTCTTCCATCAAGTGGAAATTGGCAATATAATTCTTCATCGCCTTCTCACTTGCCTGTTGAGCACTAGCCTTAGCCCTATCTGCCTCCTGTACATAGTTCTTCATCTGGGTCTCATAGAATTGGTTCTAATCCTTGAGCCTAGTAATTTCTAAGTTGGCCTTCTCAAAAGCTGCAGCCGTTAGCTTCTGATGATTGTTTGAAGTTTAAACCATCTTAGTTAAGGAAGCTACTTCGCATTGATAATCATAGACGTCCATCTTCAAAGCCTTGATCTCCACTAAGGTAAAATGTAACTTCGTTGCATCTTCAACTCGCTACGCTCTTAGCTCTTCGGACTCAGCTTTTCTTTACTTCATTTTCTCATTAGGTGAGGCCAATTTGTCAATTGACTCTTTATTGCGCATTTGGATGTCCTTCAACACTTTTTGGCACTCCAAAGTCACACCAAAAGCTCTGGCATTTTGGCTCATCAGAGTTGCTGTTAGAGCGTCGCTAGTAGAAACATAAGACTGCCACCTATCAGTCCAAAATTTGTAAAAATTTGCAATGGGGCCTCGGACTTCAGGTGGCAGCATGTCCATCACCGCAGGAGCAATTTTTTCATCTTGCCTAGCTAAGACTATACCAAATTTTTTTGGGAGTCCTAGCCACTGCTACATTCTTCATATCCTCGGAGGCCCGGTCTTCTTCATTTTTAGCCTCTTCATTGGCCCTCCAAACCATCTCAACATTAATGGCTTTCATTGAAGCCTCCATCAATTTTGGAGATGGAGGCGCAAATTGCTTAGCAGCTGTAGCAACAGTGGTGCCAAATTTCACAGAAGCAGAACTACTACTATAGGATAATTTTCTTTTCTTCCGAGGCTCATCTATCTTTCCCATGCCCTAGTCGACCTCTTGAGGTACCTCTTTTTTCACTTTTCCCAGCTCCGAGAGATGTTTAGCAGCTTTGAGAGAAGGTTCATAGGCCCTAGAGCCTACTGTAGTAGTGACTTTCAAAATGAAAGCCATGTTTGGGGTAGGTTATTTCTTCCTCCCAAAATCTTTTGTAAACATCAAAGATAATGTTAAAATATAAGAAATGAATTGTATGCTTACACAGGTCTCCCGTGTCTACCTTTCGAAGCCATTAATTCGAAGTCCAAGAACTTGCTTCGATCGATGAGGTGGTCAAAGTGGTGTAACTTCAAAGGACGTTTGTAAATATCCTCGATGACGTCTTCTCAATTTGGTGGTGCTTGAAGCGAATCTCTAAAACTACAAAACAAAAGACCATTAGATAAAATTATAAATAAAGGACAGCTAGCAGGGAAGGACACTCACATGCTCTAGAGTATTGGGTTTGTACAGGCAAGCCAGAGCCATATCTCCCTTTACTGAGAGGTCATGTAATACCACTTCTCTGACTATCCCTTTCCTAAGTATACGAGGTTAGAAGAGTGTGTGGAAAATGTACAGAGGCATATCCTCGTTGAGCGAGGTCTAGGGATATCAATTGGGTCGAGTCGGCTCGGCTCGTGGGCTGCTCGGGCTCGTCAAATGACGAGCCCGAGCTTGAGCCGAGCGGGGAGCCATATCTCCCTTTACTGAGAGGTCATGTAATACCACTTCTCTGACTATCCCTTTCCTAAGTATACGAGGTTAGAAGAGTGTGTGGAAAATGTACAGAGGCATATCCTCGTTGAGCGAGGTCTAGGGATATCAATTGGGTCGAGTCGGCTCGGCTCGTGGGCTGCTCGGGCTCGTCAAATGACGAGCCCGAGCTTGAGCCGAGCGGGGGGTCCCGTCCAATGAGCCGAGCCAAGCCCACGAGCCGGCTCGTCCAAAAATGTGGGAAAAAATAAAATTTTATCAATAAAATTTGAAAATTTTGCCAAAAAAAAAAAAATTTCACGAGCTCGAGAGTTGCTCGTGGGCTCGGCTCGACCCACGAGCTCGTGGCTCGTGAGTACAAGAGCTCAACAAGTCGAGCCCGAGCCGAGCTCTTGGGTTAACGAGCCGAGCCGGCTCGGCCCACTGCCATCCCTAGCGAGGTCTCATTCTAGATGAAGTAATCCCCAACTAACTGACTCCGTCCAATTGGCAAAAGCTGGGTCGAGGCCAACATAAAGGACCTCAACACTGTCCTAAAAAATGGGTACAAGTAGACGCATACCTATTTTAAATAGGTATTCACTAACTGCTACACAACCTGACCTTGGATAACAGGGACTAACAATTCTATAGAATCTGGAATCTTATATTTTTTTCCCTAAGTTCGACTAATTTGGTAGAGGACATGGCAAAAGGGATCTTTGCAGGCCACCCTACCTCGTAATCAATGAGACTTTTACTCATAGCCCAATAACCCCCCTCCGACCCACCTGGCATAGCCTGTTCATCGGCCCTGGCGATTTTTATCCTACCACTACTAGCGCTTGACCCAAACAAATGTGGAAAAATAGAATCTTATAGATGTGGTGTCACCTGAAAGTGGAGATTGTCGAAAAGATTTATGAAATTTGGAGAGTTTAGAAATTTTTTGCAATTGTAAAGGCTAAACAATGGCAGTTTCTTAGCTTTTATAAAAGGAGAAATGAATCACATCTATTGGATCAAAATTTATTCCATTTGAAGCGTCCATTTTTGGCTACATATGAGGTGTTGAATTCAAATAGTTTCTTTTTGTTAACACCTAAAATTGATACTTGTCCTTCACACATGAGCCTTTGCACGTCGACTTTCGAGTATTGTACCCATCATTGTGCATTAAATATAACGACCGTAGATGTATTGAAAGTTGTAACGCTTCAGCTGTTTTTTCTTAATAATGTCTAAAAATATCAAATCATTGGCACCATTATCAAAGTCATTCCAATCAAAATAAAGGAGCATTAGTAGTTCAACACTTTCCTGCTTCGGCTCAAATAAATTTTAGCTTTTATTAAAATATGAAACCTCAACAATTTAGTGCTACGTAAGGATAGGATGACATACAAGAACCAGGTTCAATTTTGAACTCCAATCATGGTATAAATATCTATACTTGGACTTGTGGGACTATTGTGTTTGTAAAAATTCTAACCATGATAGGAAAACTTGCCAAAATACTTTCTACTTATTGGAGTATTGTCGATTATCAACCTGTCCATATTATCCACGTCATCCTAACAGAAAACGAGGTCAACATTTACATTGTCGATTTTTGTCACGTGGTATCCAATCTTACATTCAAGAATCAAAACCTCATTTCCAAAAGATAGTATGGCTATAATTTTACTCAAGTCCTTTTAAATAGAAAAGGAAAATAATGACAATTTTTAATTCAAGGGCGTGCTTGGGAGTTTTGGATTATCGATTATGGGTGTTAAGTATCAATTTTGAGCGTTTGTGAGCAGATCGATGTGAAGTTATTTTTATGAGCGACTTTAAAATAGTTAAACCCATTTTTGGAATTTATTATCCATCTATTTTAAAGTTTTTTAAAATAAAAAAAATTACACTCTTCTTAGTGATTTTCAATTTATAGTTTTTTTGTACGAATATTTTTCACCCATAAGTGATATTTCACTTGTAAGTAATTTTTTAATTATAAGTGAATTTGTTAGCCCCCCTTTGACAAATATTATTTGGGGGAAATAGAGTTTTGAATAGTATTTTTTAAGAAAATGTGTGGTTAAAAAGTAGAATTTTTTTTTAATTTTTGTACAGGATATCTTATCTTGTGAATATGTAGTTGAAAATGAATAAATAGAAAAAAATTGAAAGTAGTAATTGCCAAACAAGGGCTTAGTTTTAAACTAGGTTAAACATTATTTTATAAAAATTAAAATTAAATGAGAATGTAAGAAAAGACCTAAATCCACCAATTTGGTGGATCAAGACAAATGGTTAAAAATACATTCTATCGATTTTGGGTAATTTTTCATTGTCTAAAACCAGTGTTAAAAAAATAAAATAATAATAAACAACTTATAAACGATGTGAAAAAAAAAAGCAAAAAGAAAAAGAAAAGAAAAGAAAAAGAAAAAATGAAAACTACTAAGCATGCATTTAACAAAAAAAAAAAAAAGAAGCCTCCCGGGGCACATTCAAGTTGGCAGAACAATCACATTGGGGGGCTCTGGAACCAAGCGTGGGGAGTTCGATTCCTGGTGGGAACCTTTGATCCAATAAATGAGGAATTATTGGTGGATTAATCACTATGGAGGAAGGTTCCCTTTGGGGAGGGAGTAAAAGCCATGTGGGAACTTGGGAATCAACAATGGCACATTCCGCGATTTACCTCCCTGAGCTGCTGAGGGGCCGGAGGCTCAAGGACGAGGATATAGTCTGGCGCAAGTTGGGACACCTCGTTAAAAAAAAAAAGAAAAAAAAGAAAAAGGAAGGTTGCAAGAAGGCCATTTTGAATAATTTCGACTCAACTACCTTTAAACCCTATTTGACGCTGAATTGTCCAAATTTGTCTTCTTTCGTTCATTCATTTGCCAGTCTGCAAACAAGCATCCCAATATGGGCGATCAAGCTCCTTCCGCCGCCGCCAAGAAGCTTCCGATTCCTGGGAAGCGGAATATACTCATCACAAGCGCGTTGCCTTATGTCAATAACGTGCCGCACCTCGGCAACATCATCGGATGTAATTATCTTATCTTTTTTCTCCAATTAAGTACATATTTGTGCTTTTAATGGTATATTTTTCTGGGTTTTTGTTTTTGATTCTGTAGGTGTATTGAGTGCGGATGTGTTCGCGAGGTACTGTAGAAATAGAGGTTATAATGCGGTATATATCTGCGGTACTGATGAGTACGGGACAGCAACTGAGACTAAGGCGTTGGAGGAGAAATGTTCTCCAAAAGAAATTTGTGACAAGTAATGTAATCGATTGCTTTATGCGGATTTTTATAAATTGTTCGTTTCTGTATATTTCTCGATTGGAATGCATTTCTTGCAATTTCTGATTTGTTTTAAATTTTCACTATTTCTGTTCTTTCTATGTATTTTATGGATAAGAAACGTAATTGAGTTTGATTAGAACAAAAACGAAGGCCTTTTTTATGGGCACCATTTATTTATTTATTTTTGGAAAATGAGGAAAACAAATATTTTTTATTATTTTTTACAGCTTGTTTATAGGTTTGATGTTGAGAAAGAACACATTTTTATTCTTCTAGTGACAATTAATCTGGAATATGCACATGCCCCTATCTGGAGAATTGATTCTGATATTTTTTCCCTCATTTAATCAACTTGAGTTCCACAACTGGTGCATTCTTTTATATAGATAGACATGAAAGGAAAAAGAAAAAGGGAAAAAATAGGAGAAGGATTCTAGAGCTTAAACTAGAAGGAAAATATACAGTTTCTTATCTTTTCAGAGGCTTTGCAATTGCATATCCTTGATCTATGTATTATATATTTCCTGACACTGGACAGAAGGATCGTGAACCCTTTTGATTTTTGTGTATTGTAGTCGATTGATGCAATGAGAGAGAGAGAGAGAAAAAAAAAATCATTTACTTATCGAACATGCATAATTTTTTAATCTATTTAAAATATTGACCTTTTATGATGTAAAGGAACAATGGATGGTAGCAGTCTGTCTTGACGTACACTTTTACATTGTCAATGCATCTAGACTCTTATTCCATCTCTTCACTGAGAACTGTTACTGGTAGAATGTTGACTACTTCATTTGCTTTATTGTCAAAATTCTATATCATTTCATTTCAATTCAAAGAAAGTGTAATTTCATGATGGATAAACGTGTCAACATATAAAAAAATTGAATGTGCATTGACCTGTTTTAATTTTATATCTGCTCGTAATCTTATTTGGTTTGTAGATATCATGCTATTCATAAAGAGGTATATAACTGGTTCAATATAAGCTTTGATGAGTTTGGGCGCACGTCAAGTCCGCAGCAAACTGAAGTTTGCCAAGCAATTTTCAAGAAGCTTTTGGAGAATAACTGGCTTTCTGAAAACACAATGCAGCAGGTGCAAGATTATCACATGTGCCGCCTATATAATTCTTTGAGCTCGGGGTGTTATCTATCTCGTACTTTTAGTACCCATGCTTGTTTTTCTGCTTTAGTACTGACAAGCGAATTCAGGCATCATCTGAAGTTCATCAACTAAGTTCTATTCTATCTGCAGCTCTACTGTGGTTCATGCAAAAGATTTTTGGCTGATCGGCTTGTGGAGGGTAATTGTCCAACCCCTGGCTGTAATTATGATTCTGCACGTGGAGATCAATGTGAAAAGTGTGGGAAGCTTTTAAATCCCACAGAATTACTAGAGCCAAGATGCAAGGTGCGCTCATGATTTATTAGCTTTAAGACTCATTTGGATCACTGGATTAGTTAATGTGTCCTCCCTGGGTTGATGAACAGACAATCTCATTAGTTAATGTGTCCTCACTGGGTTGATGAGAGTATTGGGCTGATCAACTTTGTTTTCCAAAATAACAATATTTACAAACCTTCGTCAAAAATAAGTGCTACAAATTATTTTTTTTTAATAACTTTTAGGGAGTTGAATCTAGACTCTGGCTTGCTTTACGGACAGGTCTGTGGTAATACTCCACGTATCCAAGATACAAACCACTTGTTTCTCGAGCTTCCTCTGCTGAAGGATAAATTAGAAGAATACATAAACAACATGTCAGTGGCTGGAGGGTGGAGTCAAAATGCCATCCAAGCAACGCATGCCTGGCTTAGAGAAGGGCTGAAACAGCGGTGTATTACAAGAGATTTGAAATGGGGCGTTCCTGTTCCGCATGAGAAGTTTATGGACAAGGTGAAATGACTTTCTGTTGAAACATTTACTATCGTGTAATCAGTAGTCTTAGTGGCTTTGAATTAGCTATTTTGATTCTTATCTATCATGTGCATGGTGACAATGTTGGTCTCATTTTGATGGTTAGGTATTCTATGTATGGTTTGATGCACCTATTGGATATGTCTCAATTACTTCATGCTACACGCCCGAATGGGAGAAATGGTGGAAGAATCCTGAAAATGTAGAGCTTTATCAATTTATGGGCAAGGATAATGTTCCTTTTCATACTGTAAGTCAACTACATTCAAAATTTTAAATCTGGTTTGTCAAATTGTAGCAGAAGTTTATACCCTTGTGATTTTGGTCAAAATTTTACCCGATTCTATCTATCCTTGATAGTTTCATGCAACTTGGAATTTCCCCTTTCAGTTTATGGGTTACCTTTGTGCATTGCTCAAATGCTTTTAGTTTGGTGCTTGCACCTGTTGGTAGAAGAACAATTGATAATGATATGTTAGAGTTACAGCCGCAAATGCAACTTTTTTATCTCGTTATTTTAGTAGGCATAGCTGCAGTATAATTTTTTTTCCCACTCAAATTGTATTTTATAGACAATAAAGTATAAATTATTAGATTGTAAGCAAAGCTTTGTTGCTCCTTCCATTCTGCTACTTTAGACGATCAGCTATAAAAACATTTTTGTTTAGATTGTGTCGAACAGAAGTATAATTTTCTTCCAAGATAGTATACTTCTTTTCAGATTAAGGCGTTGAAATGTAGAAGTTGGTTTTATAATTTGCACTTTGCTCCGTTTAAAGGAAAGCAGTGAAATTGGGGTGAATTTCTTAAGTGGGGCAAGTACCTCATTTAAGGGATAAAACCGGGTTTGTGTTTTATTCTGGGCATAGAGACAGTTTTGTTGGTAGCTGCAAGGAGTTGTTGTAAATAAAGGTAGATGCATAAAGGAACCCCATTGTCTCTACATATGTGATTGACTGAATTAACTATTAACTAGACTCCTGTTGTAAGTGATGGAGGTTGGCCTTTTCGTGCTCGAATTTCAATAATTTTTGGCACTACATATAATAAATATGATTAAATAAACTCTCGCTGAAGGATTGTTAAGTAGTAATAATATGAGAGACTTTTAGATTGTTTCTACTTCTAGTAGTGTAATACAAATTTGTTATGTTGTTATGAACTTGAGAAATAAGAACTCATTATTTAATCTATTTTATGCTTGTTTTGTCAGTTATACTATTAATTTCCTTTTTATAATTTCGTTATGGATTTTCAAGATGGATTATAGTTTATCATAAGCATGGTTTGTACTTCTATATTCTTTTAAATAATTTTATTGGTTTGTCTAGAGGCTTAAACCTCATCTCACAGATAGAATCTCGATTGAGTATTTTAAACATTATTTTCATGCTTTGGTAACTCAAAAATGACATAGAAGAGTGGATGTTAAGGATTTGAAGTGCGATTACACTCAATTCTTGTGCCTAATTACTGTGGAAAATATCGGTTTTCACTTCTATTCAGTTATTGGAGAAGCAAAGTCTGTCTTTAAACTGAAGAGGAAAGGACGAATTTTGGGTATTGTTCTATATGCTTTAAACTGTATAATTCCTGATTTTGGGTACTCACTGACTTGGCAATCCAACCGTATAGAATCATTATTAAGTAAATATAGATACTAGGACTCTGGCTGTTAGAGGTTACAAATTAAATTTTCAGTTATTAAAGTTTTAAATCCATTCTGAAGAGAAAGTAAACCATGTACTATAACTTCTGCAGGTGATGTTCCCATCTACACTTATTGGCACTGCTGAAAACTGGACTTTGATGAAGACCATCAGTGTTACAGAATACTTGAATTATGAAGCAGGTTAGCTGACTTCATATGATTTGTCTAGAAGTGCATATATGATGATATCCTTCTTTAATACTACTTTTTGAAATTGAGCTTAACTGTGTGGAATTGTTTTCATGTTTATTGTGGTAGGGAAATTCTCGAAGAGCAAGGGTGTTGGCGTTTTTGGAAACGATGCAAAAGACACAAACATTCCTGTGGAAGTATGGAGATACTACTTGCTGACAAATAGGCCAGAGGTAAACCCATGGTACTGCAGCTTTCTTGATAATATTATATGACACTGGACCATTAGCTCACCTGTCTCCTATGAGGCAGATATATCTGGATGTGTACTTTCCCATTGACGATTATAATAAATTTGCATTTTCTAGGTATCGGATACTTTGTTCACTTGGACTGATTTGCAAGCAAAGTTGAACAGTGAATTGCTGAGCAATCTAGGAAATTTCATTAATCGAGTCTTAAGTTTCATTGCGAAAGACCCAGGTGAATTAACTTCTTTTTTTTTTATTTTTTATTTTTATTTTAAACGAAGCCTCTGATGTAAAATTTTGTCTTTAATATGTTCCATTATTATTTGTCTATGAACGAAGTACCATATGTGATGCTGGGAAGTAGTCTAAATTACCATTTTTCACCAAATATTTGTTGCAATGCCACTCCAACCCACTACCAAATCTTGCACCATTTTGCACAAAAATGGTGCAAGTGAATAGTGCACTAAATTTTATAAAGGCCCTTTTTGCCCTTTTTTTCATTTATCACTAAAGAATATCAAGGGTATTTGTGTCATTTTACATTATACATAAATTTTAATTCTTAATTATCATCATCATCATTATTTGTAATGCAATTTAGCCTCCTGGGGCATAACCGAGTGGTGCGAAGGACAGGGGTGAGGTAGTTTCAACCTTACTGGCAGCTACAGTATTAGGGTTCGATTCCTGAGATATGAAATTGGATTTTTTATGGGCACCAGTGTGTGGGTAAGCTCTTGTTCCCTGGCCTGTTGGGGTACATCCGGTTATTTACCTCCCTTACGATGCTCCAGGGGAGGGGCGGTGGGCCCTCAAGGTTGGGGTTCAACCTTTTTTTTTTTGTAATGCAATTTAATCGTGCAATTAATAATAATCAAGGAATGAATTTAAAAAAGTACTCGAAATGCATTAATTGAACATTTGTGGGATGAATATATAAATTTCGATAATTTAATTATGACACTAGGTTACCTCCCTTACGATGCTCCAAGAGCGGGGCGGTGGGGCCCTCAAGGTTGGGGTTCAATCTTTTTTTTTTGTAATGCAATTTAATCGTGCAATTAATAATAATCAAGGAATGAATTTAAAAAAGTACTCGAAATGCATTAATTGAACATTTGTGGGATGAATATATAAATTTCGATAATTAAATTATGATACTAGGTCAACTTTGTCATATTATAATTTCGGGATTTAAAATGTACTGCGTCATTTTTAATAACACGATTTAATATTTTCTTAGTTGTGGTATTTTTATTAATTGTACTACATTTTTAAAATTTATTAAATAATTTAATATTTTCGTAAACGAAAACTAATTATGTATATAGTAATTTATGTAGTAGTAAATTAAATAAATAAGTTTTTGGCGATATAAATTGTTAAGAAAAGAAATGAATAAAATGATTAAACACTTTTCATTTGGTGCAACTTTTGGTGTAACGGATTGAAGATGAATTTTATTTTGGTGCAAGATTTAGTGCAAATTTTGGTGCAGTATTGGAGATGGTCTTAGGTGCAGTGGCAGAGCCACAGGTTGGAGGGTGGTGATTGCTCTCACAACATTTTTAATTTTTTTTAAAATCTATTTGTAGAATTTTTGAATTTTTTTATTATGCCTATGTTTGAGCCCCCATTTTTTTAAAAAAAAATAAAAAATGACTTTTGTAATAGTGAATTTTAGAAGAATGTATGGTTAGAGTGTAGGAAAAAGTTTGTGAGAATGTGTGGTTAAAAGTGAGTTTGAGCAAAAAAAGAGTTTTCAGATAATGGGGGATCAAACGGTATGTACGAAATAAATATAAATGTTGCACCTTCAACACTTTTTTAGCCCCCTTATTGTTGAAATTCTGGCTCTTCTACTGCTTAGGTGATACTTTAGGACTAGGTTTGGAATATATTTATTGGTCGGGCTAATAGTTACTTTTGCTAAATTCCTCATTTTTCCATGAGAATGAAGTCATGTGCTTTGTTAATTCTTTTGACTCTGACAAGAGCTAAAATTTCTGATGGGTTTGAGGAGTTCCCTTATTTGTCCTCAGAAAGGGTACTGTTTTAATATCAATAATCATTATGTGATTTGTCATGTGTGTCTTCATTATTTCAGGTTCAGGGTATGGTTCCATCATTCCTGATGCTCAGGGTGCAGAATCTCATCCATTGACGAAAGTATTGGGAGAGAAAGTCAGTAGTTATGTTGAGCAGTATATTGAAGCAATGGAGAAGGTAACTGATGCCTGATGCCCCCATTATTTTGTACTTGCACACATATACGTCAGCAGGGACCTATTTCATTATGTATAACATTCCAATTGGCATTTGATGTAGGTGAAACTAAAGCAAGGCTTGAAGATTGCTATGCTTATATCTGGAGAAGGAAATGCTTATTTACAAGTATGCCCCCCTTGTGGAATTCCATACGCTACTCTATTTATTGATCATGCTAAGATATCGTAGCTTATTACCTGTTGAATCAAATAAGTTCATTTAAATTCCTGCCAATGTTAGACAGTCCTCTGTTTTTTCATCTAAGCAGAAGACTTGCTATACTCATATTTGTCCACGCAGGAAAGCCAATTTTGGAAGCTTTACAAGGAGGACCGACCTTCCTGTTCTGTGGTTATGAAAACATCAGTTGGAATAGTGTATCTTCTCGCTTGTCTCTTAGAGCCTTTTATGCCATCTTTTTCCCTCGAGGTAATGAAACAAAAGTAGCTGAGTATAGCAATTTACATATAAGTGCGAGATCAGAAACTAGCTGATCGATTCCAAATGACGTGTAGGTACTTAAACAGCTTAACTTGCCCCTTGAAATGCAAATTTCACTTTCTGATGAAAAAGGTGATGTTGAAAGGGCGAAAAGACCTTGGGAGATCATACCCGCAGGTCATAAAATTGGAACTCCAGCACCACTCTTCAGAGAACTGGTACATGCTTTGATGTATTCCTTGTCTCTCTATTGGCTTCATGTTTTTATTTTATGATCATTACTGAGGTGATTCCTTTTTGTTGCTTGCTCAATCAAATAAATAATTTGCAGACAGATAAAGAAGTTGAGTTCTTCAGAGAGAAATTTGCGGGAAGTCAAGCTGATAGGATTGTAAAGGCAGAAGCTGAAGCAAAGAAACTTACTGAAAAATTGAAGGGAACTAACATCTCAGGTCATGCTCTTTCCTTTATAATTGATTTTGTAAGTAATTATTTGGATCTGTGGTCTACTTGCCTTTCCATCATGTGCAGAAATCTGTACTTCTGGTTGTCTTCTCCTGCAAATTATGTTTTTATTGAACCTGAGGTTCTACTTTTCTCCCTTCTTTAGATTATGAATATTAAGCCTGCACTTTGTGGTTGTATTTAAGTAGGAAAAAAATTTATCTGTGTTTTAGACAGTTGCTTAATTTCTTGTAAACTGGGAACCTACTATCTTTCCAAGTTTGTTTCAGGTTAAGGTACAATGTTGGTTTCTTATGCTAGGGACATCTTAATTAGGAGAAATAGTGCATCACAGAGAAGAAAGGCTTAATGAGACAAGAAATCTACATATCATGGATTCCGTTGTCTGAGGTTGAAATAACTTACAGGAATCCTTATGGTTGTCTTTCGCTTCTTAAATCAACTTGGAAATGCATGTAAGGTTAGAAAACATAGAACTGAGTGATCTTTGAATGACGGGTAAAGAAAGAGAAGTGTGGGGAAGTTGGTAATTTTTAATATGTTCTGCCCATAAACTGTAGAGAAGACTCCCGATTTAGGTTCAAGGATCAAATGCAATATGCTGGTTGTTTGAACTAAACTAGATAATTTATAGCCTTTGAACAATACTCGCTAAAAAGAGATGAGAAGAAAGGTGGAAAAGGGAAGCTGTTTGTTTTGATGAAGGGAAATAAGTGACGTCACAAATTTTTTACTTGGAGCTTATAGGGCAAGAAGCTTGCAGAAATGTAGCCAAACAGAAATGAGTGTCAAACAACATGATGTAGGCAATGGTATTTATTTATTTGTTTATTTTTTTTAATTTGTTCCTTGGTATAATTAAGTACTGTACCTCATTGCCACCCTTATTTGAGTATTACGTGAAAGTAGGACAACTCAGTGTTCATTGGAGACCTTCTAAAATGGTATTGGAATATTAGAAACAATGCCATGGTTCCTTTCTCTTTGCAAGTGTACAGTGCTGTGGAAAATTTAACATCAAGATAAATTGTATTTAGAAAGGAGATCCAACTTATGTTTTTGTTATTTTCAGATGGTAGTACTTCAAAGAAGGATCGACCAAAAAAATCTGCTGAAGCCAAACCCCAGGTTTCTGCCCCTGCCGAAGCTGGAATTTCCATTAGTAGATTAGATATTCGTGTTGGTCTCATTACGAAGGCCCAGAAACATCCCGATGCTGATTCTTTGTATGTGGAAGAGATCGATGTTGGTGAAGCACAGCCTCGCACTGTTGTTAGTGGCCTGGTTAAGTATATCCCTCTGGAAGAAATGCAGGTTTCTTTCTTCACTTTCACAGATTCATGCTTATCTAATACACTATATAGACCATATAAACAATTTCAAAAAATTTCTTTTAGTTGAACTAACATTGTCCCAACAACCCTCTTTGTCAGAATCGGAAAGTATGCGTTCTTTGTAACCTGAAGCCAGCAGCCATGAGGGGTATAAAGTCCCAGGCAATGGTCCTTGCTGCTTCTAATAGTGATCACACGAAGGTAAGGGTCTATATAATATTTTTTTAAGATTATCGTCTGCAATTTTCATTCTGTGTAATCTTTTTGCCCTTGCTGCTTTCTTATCTTAAAATATGTGAAATCTTTGATGCCTTGTGCTTAGCAGTTTATTAATTTTGTGTATGTTTTGGTTATTTAATGTTTACCGATCGCTAATAAAGGAAGTCAAATGGCAGTAATCACGAGTCTTATTTATTTTAGTCTGCCATCTTCTTGAAGTGGTTTAGTCACCACTGGCTTTACTCTTATCTTGTTCTCCCTTCCAGTGTTAATGCTGCTGCTGCACTTTCGGCTAGCACTTTCTCACTTATCTTCCAAACATATTTTCCTACCAGTCACTGGTCACTCATTTAAACTCTTCCAAGAACCACCATTTTTACTGCTACCTTTGTGCATCAATCGAAAGCCGATCTCAACTCGTGACTATCACCATTGAATTTGATGAATGCATCAAATGCGACAAATTTATGTGAAATGAAGTAATTAGTGTTGGGACAAGTAATTAAATGAAATCTTTTCATGGATGTTGCTCTTTTGCCAGGTTGAATTGGTTGAACCTCCCCAAGGTGCAGTCGTTGGTGAAAGAGTGACATTCCCAGGATTTGAAGGCACACCCGACGAGGTATTGAACCCTAAAAAGAAGGTATGGGAAACATTGCAAGTCGATTTGCATAGTGACAAGGAGTTGGTGGCTTGCTACAAAGATGTTCCCTTTACCACATCTGCAGGTGTCTGCAAAGTTTCATCGGTTCCTGATGGATCAATAAGGTAAGATTGGTCTTAAGGAACATCTGGGTGGAACAAGACAAGGGAAAAATGTGAGATTTCCCCAAATTGTTATCAGATGGTTAAACCATTATTCTCTTTCATTTATCCACTCAAGGGAATCAATTTTGCTTAATGGATACTTATTTAAGGACATTAAGTGTTGATTGTGTTGTCTGATCAATGCAAAAGGGATGAGAATTCTGTCAAGAGTCTGAGGTTATCTAGTATAAGTTGAGTAATATTATGATTCTTATGTATTTTTGAGCATTTGCTTGGGGACATTTAGTGAGTACTGTTATGATTTCTAGTCACCCTCTGCTATGAACTCATTTTTGCTTTTGATTTTACGTATACACTTATTAATGGATAAGTAATTCCTTAGAGAAAATTAGATTAGTTTGATAAATGTGATGCCCGTGTCTAATATGGAGTACCAATCCATTTTTCTTTGATCATTTCATTAGAACATGGATCTTGATCCATCTAAGGCGACAGGTTAATTTTCCCTATATATTGGATCTTGATTTACGTTTTGTTGTCAAGCCTATAAAATAAATTTGTTTACTTGAGTTTTCTCATTCTTGGCTACCTTTTTGTAAAGCACATTTAAAGCTCGGTTTGACAATCATTATTTGAATTTTTTTTTTATCACAAATTTACACAATAAAATATTCTCCACGTAAATTTTATTATTATTATTATTTTTAAAATCACTATTCGAATTTTTTTTTTTTTTTTCGAACAATGGCCATCTAAATAGAGAGGCCCCACGATTTACTCCAGCCGCACTGTACTTCATTTGGAGGCCCAATAGGCCACGGGCTCATGACCACTAAATCGTAGATGAAAAATTTGGCATAAAAATTTATTGACGGGAAAAATGTTTGGGAAATTTTCCTAACTAAGATGTTAAGTATTACTCATTTAAAAAATAAGAATAAAAGTTTCAAATTTCAAAAATCATGTTTATTAAAATTTATTTATGATTTAATAAATTATTTATATGTTTTATTAATTAAATATACTAAGGTGACATATTTATATAATTTGGTCACAAATTAAAGATTTAATTAGTCACATATTATTTTAATCACAAATTAAAATTTTTATATTACAAATTATTTTGCGATCATAATTCAAAAATTTTGTAAGTCACAATTTGTTCGTCGGTCACGAATAAAAAATTTAAGTTTCAAATTATCAAATTACTAATCATAAATTAATAATGTTTTTAGGTCACACATTATTTTTTAGTCACAATTTATTTGTTTATTGGTCACAGATTATCCCAAATTCTAAATCAAAGTCCTTGAACCAAGACTTTCAAGAAGACGCGAATTGACATATTTGGTGAACAGAAGTGGAAGTCATGTTGGATGATCTTGAAGAACAATATTAATAATAATAATAATAATAATAATAATTATTATTATTATTATTATTATTTTTTAATTCAGTGTTGATTTACCATATTTTAGTAGACTATAATTGACCCGTCTCAAGCTTGAAGCAGTAGTATGTAGTCTCTGTTAGGATCGATGTCATATGCGATCCGCCTGTTTGGGCCCGATTTTTTCACTAAAAAAATTGATTTTTTGACCGTTATTTCACTATTTCAGCCGTTATATTTGACTTCTTCTCTCACAGGTAGACCCCACTTTTTTCCTAACGGTCAAAAAATCAATTCTCAAAATCGCTCCCAAACAGGCTCTATATATTTGACGTGAAGCTATAATCGCCAGAATATTTAAAATCCGAATTTGATTTTTATAATTTGAATGCACAGCTTGATGTTACTTTTACCAAATTGATTTCAGAGCGCCGAACGCCACTTAGAATGGCTGTTCACCCGCGCCAAAGAGACGATGGAGACAGGAGGGAGAGGGACGAATAGGGAGAGTGAGGGAGAGGTGGGAGATTTTAGGGTTGGAATGGGGAAGGGGGTGATGAGTTTGCTGGGCAGGGTTGTGATTTTTTTTAATTTTATTAGTTTATTATTAATATTTAAAAAATATATTATCATCTGATTTTTGAAAAAAAAAAATTAATTCTTAACTTTGAATTAAGAACTTAAAAATTAGGGGTTGCTGTAATTTCCACAAAATATTTTGCTTGATGACACTAGCCACTTCATGATTGCTAGGCCTTTTTTAACATGTGATGGCATATTTTTTTTTTTTGGATTTTCATCACTATATTATCACTCTTCACCTTCCCATATAAGAGTATCATAATCGAGTATCATAATCCCATGAAATATTTAGGACTATGGAACAAAGAATTATTTTGGACTTACATGGAGGTATCGAATATGATTCGCAAATCTTGTAGAGATCAGAAAATAGAATTTCAATAATTTGTGAACTGATTAGGCAATTTTTTGATTGAAAGGGCTTACTCCACTCTCTCCCTCCCCTGCCCTTGTGGAAATTATACCCATTGATTTGACATTAGGCGAGCAATCATGCTATGATCGTTCCAGAGTACAAAGTTCAATCTTATATTTCATGAAAAACATGATGTAGGAAACTTGGAGGGAGGAACCTGTCAATCGAACAAAATACTCGCTGAGCACATATGTTAAGTAGAACCACTCGTGTCAAAGCATGTATCATGTCATCGAGTCTTAATAGCTTTAATTTTGTTCTTACTTCTTAAAAATATGAAAAAAGACAAAAATAAAAAGTAAAATTTTGCCTGGGTTAGCCTACTAATCCGTCATGGGCATGGAGATGCACGCCGAACATAACCTTCTTTTTTAAGGCAGGCTAGCGAACATCTCTTCCTATCCTAATTCATTCATGCTTGTGCTATGACAGCGTACAAAAAGGAAAAAAGCCAAAAACCACAAGTTAGGTCTTGACAAGGCGAGTATTAACAAGGTGCTAAGAGTGTAAAGCATTTTTTGTATGGTAATTGCCAATTGGGAGGATATTTGTGGCTCAATGAGCTACCATGTGTTCTTCTCATTGGGCTCTTGTCTTGTTTTTTTTCTACAAAAACCACAAGTTAGGTCTTGATAAGGCGAGTATTAACAAGGTGCTAAGAGTGTAAAGCATTTTTTGTATGGTAATTGCCAATTGGGAGGATATTTGTGGCTCAATGAGCTACCATGTGTTCTTCTCATTGGGCTCTTGTCTTGTTTTTTTTCCACGAAAGATATGACTTCTCGATGTCGATTGTTGAGCTCATGACCGCTCGTTGGTAGTTAAAGTTGAAAACTATTTGAAGGTAACTCATAAAATGGTTCGATCATTTTAGGTATGGTTGATGGATTAAAACATATTTCTAATCTACATCTATTAGAAATATATGTGAAGTCAAATTTGGGGCGATTTGGATGAGATTTAATGTAGATCTAACTTTCGATTCATTCGTGGGATTCGAGCAATTTCTAAGGTCTGACACTAGTAATTTTTTTTATATAGTCCATGTTTGGTAGGGATTAAAATTAGATTTTTAGTAAATTTTGATAAAAGTTATTGAAGTGGTTGAAAAGTAGTGAGACTGTAAAAGATGTGGTTAATATTGATTGTTTGACTTTAATTTAAATTAAAATATGATTTAAATCAATACCAAACAAGGACATCGATTTTATAATAGTGATTTCTTATGCATTGTATTGTTAAAGAGTAGGATTTTTTTTTTAATTTTTTTTATTTATGTGTAAATTTATTTATTGAAAGAATGTGTTAATAAAAATGAATTTAGCAAAAAATAATTTATTATTTTTTTTAAAAAAATGTCTCAAACAGGGACTTAGGTTTGTTATGTGCAGTTTAAATGCATTAATAAATGTTCCTTACGTGCACGTCACACAATCAGTACAACATAAAATCATAATTTAAAAATATAACTTATTTAATTTAAATTACTCTTATATTCATCTCCAACCCTCCACAAAAAAGTTGACACCTCTACACCTATATCCAAAACCACAAACTAATGTCAAAACCGAGGTAGGGACTTAATTATTACCTAATGGAGGCTGCTGAAGTCAATGAATAGCATAATTGAAAGCTGTTAATCGTCTACAATAGACTTTCTTTTTAGGACTTTGATATTCGTACACGGATGGTTGACATGTCCATATACACTTCCCTCAGAATGGATCCCTCTCATATGAGGAGAGTGTACAACGCCCTTTGTACGTATATCATGCTCCTTTTTCAGTAGCGATTACAGAATAACGATAAATTAAAAATTTCATGATACTAGTAAAATTATAGAATATAACGTTTAGAACAAGAGGTAAAAAACGTTAAATTTTATTTAATATTATTTGCAATCATATTAATAATGGTAATTTGATTTTTTTTTATTTTTATTTTTAGATTTTTATACCGTGGCCTATCCATTCCATCAAAACTTAATACATATCTAAAAAGACGGAGAAGTATTAAAATAAGGGGAATGCTAAGTGTACAGCATTTGCTGTACACTTTGTATGACAGCCCTTGCACAAAATGTAGGGCGCGCAAGAGAGCTCAAAGTTTCTTTCAAAGATCAACGGATAATATATATATCCAATACATAGTACTTAATAAAATTATATTTTTAAATAAGTTTAATTGTGTTTAGCTGTGACCTTTTATTTTGTTAATTTAAGTAAAAACTCACTTAGTTTGACTGTAAGAATCATTTCACTATTTAGATAAATAAGTGATATTTTATTCAACTATGACCAAGAAAAATAAAACCACATTCTTCTTCTTCTTCTTCTTTTTTTTTAATTTTATTTTATTAAGTAGCTTGCTTAATACAAAACATGATAAATTTTAGGGATGGCATCTGTTCATCCCCTGCCTTGTTGAGAATTTTAGAGAGTAGGTGACGAGATTAGGGCGGGTGAGGATTAAGGCCCTGTTTGAGACCTATTATTTTCTCATTAAAATGAAAAATATGACTGTTAATCATCATATCAAATCATCATATTTGACTTTTTATATTTTGTCTGGGTTTATAACGTTTATATTTTTCTTTTTCATTTTTACAATAATGTAGCTCAAACGGGAGCTAAATTATCTCCATTTTCGTCCCTATTTCATTATTAATTTATTTCATAAATGATTTTTCATTTTCATTTTTTGATATACGATTTAAATTGAAAAACATAAAGGAAGGGGCCAGCCTGTCCCAAACAAGTTGATTACATATAAATACACATTAGTACTTTGATGTTTATTAATTTTCACAAAAAAGACACCAAATTACTATAATATAATATTTATGGAAAGGGACAAAAGGAAAATAGACTTAATTCTGGTATAAAAATATGTCTCTTTCAATATCAAGGGGAATCAACGAGTGACAGGCAAGTAGATGAACTGGATATTATGTAATATTATATACTTTAAAATGGGAAATTTTTTTTGATTTTTTGCAATTTTTTTTAAAATGTAAAATTAATGAGTTTATAATATTAAATTAACAAATATAAAATCAAGTTAAAAATTAACTATTTTTTTTAAAGTAAACGATTTTCTTATTAATTGAATTTCATTTTGTGATAACTGACACCTATGGTTTTATAATTTTATTTTTATGAAATTATTGAGTCTAAATTTGTTTGATCTTTTTTCTGTTGGTCGAACTAAAAGAATTAACATAATTCTTTTAGTTCGACCAACAGAAAAAAGATCAAACAAATTTAGAGCCACATTATTTGAAAAAAATACATTTTCAACAGTGATTTGACATCATTTCAACCACACATTCTTTAATAAAATAATATTATACGCAAATTCAAAACTTTTCGTTATTTTTTAACCATATATTTCCCATCAATATACTATTAAAAATGTATTTTCATTCCAATAATGTGACTCAAACAAGGGTTAAGTTAATCGAACTAAAGGATTTAACAACTTTTTACGGCTGTGAGTACTTTATATATTAAAATACACCCTATATACCATATTTTCTAAATTTATACTTCTCATATTCCATTTTATAGTAAGGAAACAAACACAATTTTTGTTAAAAAATTACAAATTTATCATTAAAAATAGTTAAAATATACTAAAATATTCATAATTTAAAAAAAAAAAAACCCCAATTAGACCCTTTGTATTACATTATTTAACATCGTACATACCAATTTTTCAATATAATTATGCATCCAACTTAAACTAAATAAGAAATTGGTATCTAGTTACAAAATAATAGCTAATATAAAACTTATCTTATTTAATTTTATTTTATTTTTTTCCATTGAACAACAAGAGTGTAGTAAATAATAATTATTTTATCAAGACTTGAAAAGTTTATTTTTTATTAATTTGATGTTAGAGTTTAGGAAAATAATATAGTAAAATTTGTAAATCACAAAAAATGGTTATCATTTAAAAAGGGAAAAAAAAAATCTTTTCATGAAAATCAACAATAAGAAAATAGTAATAAAAATGCTTCATAAGGTAAAATAGAAAGTGTGAATTTTAATTTTAAGGGTTATATTTTCTATTCAGCTGTTTATAAAGTCGTATTTGTAAAATTTCTTATATATTAAGATCATATTTGATTTGGATTAAAATTTAATTAAAATTTCAAGTTAAAATCAACAATTAATTTTAACCACACATTTCATCAATTTTTATCAAAATTTATTAAAATAATGACTTTAATCTCCACCAAACAAGGATTTAGATACGCGCATTAGTTGAATAATATCATTGTGAATCACGATGATTATAGTAATTAACACAAAACTTTGTTATATCTTATTTGGTCTAAACTCATCTTCATATAGTTCCAAATAAAATATAGAGGCTGGATTAAATAAATTGCAAAGACTAATATCATATTAATCTATCATAATATTAATTTTTTACACGATATAATCCGCTTATAATTATTAAAACTTGATCAAGAAAGAGTTGACCGTTTGAAAGAAGACTTTGTTGAGGGAAAGTTTGATATATGACCCATCAAGCGCTTGTTTGGGTGAAATCCTAGTTATTGCATCTCTATGACTCATCAAGAGCTTGTCTGAGAACGATTATTTCAAGTGATAAACGAATTTTTTGAAAAATATATGATTAAAACTAAGAAAAAAATTATCCGACAGATATTAAATCTCTCGATGTCCAGGCTCGTGAGCCTGTCTATTTTCAAAAATTAGAGGTAATTATTTGGCCATCTTTATTTTTTCTAAAATTTATTTTTTCTCAAATTTATTTTTTATTTATACATTTTGCCCTTATTTGAGTCTCATTCTGTTGGAAAAATGTATTTTTCAACAGTATTTTGATATCATTTCAACTACACATTCCTCAATAAAATAATATTACAAGCAAATTCAAAACTTTTTCTTATTTTTTAACCACATATTTTCCATCAATATACTATTCAAAAATTCATTCTTCCCCAAAAACGAGGCTCAAACAAGGGCTTTATGAGATTCCAACTTTTCTTAACTTTACAATCACACACTTCGTCAACTTTTATCAAAAATTACAAAAAAAATATATAATTTTGATCTAAACCAACCATGTGCTTAATTACCTATTCGATTATTAATCTCGACTTCCCTCTCACTTGCACATAATTATATAATATAACTTGCTCAAGTCAAAGAATCGTATTCATCGAACAAAAAAATTGACACCTCTAGACAAATGTCAAAACCCAGCAAATTTATTAAAAACTGGGAAAAATAGTTTTAACATTACCATTTGATGAGAGACCATAGTAAATTTCAAAACCTTGTAAAAAAAAAAAAAAAAAAAAAAAACAGGCCTTTTGACATTTCATTTATTGATTTAGGTCACAGACATTGACATGTCACCATTTTAATATTGTTTCCATTCCTTTCTTTTCGATTTGTAATCTTATTTTGGTCATCCACTTGCAAGAAACTGATAAGCATTTCCTATTTTATTATTCTTTTATTAGTAAACCATTTAGATAACAAATTAAATATTGTGATTAATGTCACTGCAAAATAATAACTCGTTTGATAACAACATAAAAATACTACGGAATTTGCCTTTCTAGATCAACATTAGGTAGCACCTACTACAGTCTTAAATCACTTGGTCATATCTACCTCTCTAATATATATATGGCACCGTTTGGCCCCCATTATTTGAATTTATAATGAAGGGAAATAATACTTTTTTTTTGAAGATTGTGTGGTTGAAAAATTTTCAATTTGAGTGTAATATTATTTTATTCAAGACTGTGTGGTTGAAAGTAAAAGAAAGAAAAAATTAAATTAAATTGAAGAGTTTTAAAGGGATCCAAACGGGGGCTATATTTATTTTTTAGCCTCCATTTGATAAATGGTCAAACATTGTTTTCAATCAAATATTTCAATTGATCCATATGTATTGTTCACTTATCTCTAAGTATTATGGAATTAGACCCAAAAATCGAGTGGGTCATTCGGGAGATTGTAATACTTGAACCTGCACATTGTACTTCGAATATTTCATAAATTGAACTATTTGAGTCCTTGTAATTATTGAACCAAACCGAAACCCCAATCGTCGATTCCGATTCGAGTTCGATTCTACCCATGATATTATATATGTAAAATAAGTATCTTCATATAGACGTTTTCAACACATATACCTAACAGACAATATTTGCGCAAGGGAAAAAATTTAGCTAAGAAATCATCAAGAAACAAAATAGTGGAGACTAATAATCATGAAAAAGAGAAAATTAACACATCAAAAATTAAATAATAATTTGAGAAGAAATTATTTGTTTCTTAATAAATCTTATTCAATCTATATGTGAGGCATGCTGGAGCCTATAATTTAATTATCGACAATAATTAAATTCTTCTACTTTTAAAACGAGCTGATATAAAAATACTAATTAAATACATAACTATATAAACAAAAAATTGATATCTACGTATTGAACTAGCCGTGTTTGCATAAAAAAATAAAATAAAAAGAAAGTAAAGAGGTCGAATTGCAAAGAATGAACTCTTTGATTAATCAACTTATACCACAGTTTAGCTTGAACTTTTTGATTCATAGAAATCCTAAAGTACAAAAATTAACATGTACAATAATCTGATATAGGTGAGAGAAAAAGAGTGGGAGCCGATCTTAATTTCTTAAGGTAATGGTTTTGTGTTTTAAACAAATTATTACACAAATTGAATTTTTTAAATTTTTTCACATCTATAAATTGTAAATAGAAATTATTAGATTTTTATTACATTGGGAAGGTGATGATAGGGTGCGAACCTTCCTCATCCATGTGGAAAGTTCCCACCGGTGCCATTAGACCAATTTCACATGATTTTATTACAGTTAGGATTATGCTGAACGGATATGACCACGTAGATCTTGTCGAGGCGCCAATCAAGCGTCTTGTTTGGACAAGACCTACCAGTATCTTTATCCCTATTTATCAATAAGACTTTCCAATGGATATATGACAGGATGTTAAGGAGGTACCACAATCAAAGAGAAAGAAAGCAAAAGTAGAGAGGAGCATAATCAACTTAACTAGTTAGGACGTTTTAATATACCTACTGATTTTCATCTTTAAATACTTAATTTTTTAAATCTGAAATGATATTTGTCCAGATATATTGCATAGATAGATTTGTAACTTTATTTTTTGTCTAAACTCCAATGAAATAATGTCACGTGACATTCCATAAACTCCTCTGTACAATTTGTGTGTACACATAGCATTGTTCTTTTTAAATACATCCTAAAAATTTATTTGAATTGTCTTTTATTTTGATTTCTCGAGAATCAATTCTATCTCAGATTTAATTTTAACCACACATTATTAAAAAAAAAAAAATGGAAAAATTATTTTTCAATGTTTTTACTACGTAGTCACACAAAATTATTTTCAAAGAATAACTATTCTGAAAATCGCTAAACTCATAAATAACAAAAGCCAAAAGTTTCCAACCAAATCAAAACCAAATTACCAACTTCAACTTCATTGTCCCCCTTATCGAACATTCCTCCACCACGACCCGCCCAACACCACCACTTCCTCTTCCTCCTATATATACATACATATACACCCTCACAGCATCAAGAAAAGATCTAGAAATTCTCAATATGCGCTGCAACTATGGTTTTTCACTACCCAGAAGCGATCCCCTCCGCTTCTCCTTCCTCCCATCAATCCGACCCGATCCACTTCTTATTCCCTCCTCCGTATCATTCCGTGTCGGACCGGGCCGAACCATTAAACTCGTTAAATCCACCCTTAATGATACTCTATCATTCACCTCGGAGAAGCCCTCCAGTTTCTACGATTTATTGGGCATACCCGAGACGGGATCTTTGATTGAGATCAAACAAGCATACAGGCAGATGGCCCGGAAGTACCACCCGGATGTCTCCCCTCCGGGTCGGACTGAGGAGTATGCTCAGCAGTTCATAAGGGTACAAGAGGCCTACGAAACGCTGTCGGATCCTGGAAAGAGAGCGTTGTACGATTTAGACATGGCTAAGGGGCTTCACCTCGCATTCTCTGCCCGGAGGCGTTCCGAATTTGACCAGGTTCTTTCCCTTTTTCGTATATTCTGACGATGTTATGTCTATCATTATTTCAGGACTTTTTTTCTTCTTAATTTACTATTTCAAAACTCATTTTCTTGTACTTTAATTGTTACATGTCACTTTTAAGTAAAAAAAGTCATTTTAAAATGGATAAAGTTCTTTTTTTTCATGAAACTTAGAAATAAATCAAATATTTGAAAAAGTAGATTTGTCAATTTGAAAGTAAGAAAAAAAAGTCATCGAGGCGGGGCCAAAAAGTAAACTTATTTTTTAAGCTTAGCTAAATATGTTCGAACAATCTTGTATAACAATATTCAAATCTCTACAAGAAGTGGAGAGGGAATGAGGATATACTTGTTTTAGTCTTTACTCGTTTTCACATGCGCAATTAATCTTTTATTGAAGTACTTTTTGTAAATGAGTGACGGAAATACTCGATTACGGGATATTTGATTAGTGTGATACTACTTGACTCAAAAGCTTTACAAATTGAGAGTAAAGTATATTTCGCTCATATTTGATAGGGATTAAAATAAAATTTTGATAGATTTTGATAAAAATTGATGAAATGTATGGTTGAAAAGTTGTGAATCTCGTAAAATATGTGATTAAAATTAATTGTTGACTTTGATTTAAATTAAAATTTTAATTTTCGATTATTATTATTTTTATATCAAGTTGGTTTTTCCATGTATTCAAATTAAAGTGGTGGATGTAATTATGGGAGAAATATTTAGATGGGTAGTTGTAATTTGGTGAAAATGATTACTGATAGAATTCTAGATGGGCAGATGTAATTTGGTGAGAAATATTCGGAAAGTGCATTAGGACTTTCCATAGAATCCTTTTAACTTTTTTAGTGGAAAGGATTAAAAGTTTTACCAAAATTGAAATTTGTTGATTGTAAAAGTTGGACTTTTGTTTGGTGGGGCTTTTGAAAAGTCAAAAATTGTTTTGAAGAATAAAAAATTACTTTTAAACATATTTTGATCATTTTTTAAAAGTGTTTTGTGTGGTTACGAGAGTTTTTAGAGCAAGATAATTATAGATAACTTAAGAAACTTTTTCAAGAAGTAAAAGCAAAAACAGAAGTCGTGTCAAACTGGTCCTTAACGAGATCTGTAGGAAAAGTGCGAGTACAATCTTAAAAGAAATTACTGTGTCGAACTTTATTGAGGTATTTACATGTTGGTGGCATGTGGTGTTGTTCGGTTTAGAGTCGTGCTCCCACAAAGTTATATCGAAGATGGATGAAAAGAAAATTATCTTCTTATATGCATAGAAAATAGGAGTATTTTGCTTTTACAAATTGAATTTGATTATTCTTTTACTAGACTTGTTTTATGGTAATTACAGCAAATGGAACAGAAGTGTGAATGGAAGGGACGATGGGAATCTCAACTATCAGAGTTAAATAGAAGAAGTATGTACAAGGACTCGACTGAAAATATGTCGTGGGGGGCACGAATGCGTAGACAACGAAATGAATCATCTTAATCGTACGTTTGACAAAGTTTACTAGATAATATAGTCTAATATTGTATGCCAATTACCAAGCATGCACTTTCCATTATGGTTGTACATAGTTATTTTTCTTTATTTTGGAAAGGGTAGGTGTATATCAATCTACATTAAGATGTAACTATGTATACTTATACATAAATGAAGGTAAGTTCCCTTAGAAACCAAGGAATCGGATTCGGACCATGTGGACCGTTATCTAATAGAAGTCTATCCACATTTGACTAAGCTTATAAGTAGCTGGTTCTTACTTTTTTCAATCTTATATTGACGGTGTGTGCTTCAAACTTAGCAAAACATGTTAACATGGCTAGAAAAAGAAGTGCTTTTAAGCTCCTTTTAAACTTACCGGAACATTGAGGAAGGTTCTATAAATACCACTTGTATGCTTCAACATAATCATCCTAACAATGAACCACTGATGATAATCATGCTTGTAGGCATCTATAGTCTTCGCGACATCCCAATCGACAATGGGAGCTTGACCATCATCGTACTGTAACATTTGTACAAAGATGAGCACTGTTAACACGAACTAAATATAGTATATAGCATAATATTAAAGGGGCAATCAGTCTCTTTATTATCTAGATGTGTAAAAATGGTCAAACTAAAGGAGCTCGATACCATACAAGTGGATCTAGAAGAACTTGAAAGTCGATAAGAATGTGCAAGATCAATTAGATTTGACATCTACAATTAGAATTTGGCAAATAGAAAGAAAAATGAAAAAAAAAAAAAAAAACAAGGACCTCAATTAATTTAGAACCATTGTCCTATTAGGCATGCAAACATGAACTGGACCGTGCTTGAACAAATGTGGTACAGGGACACATGTTAACATTGTACAATCAAAAATTAATTGGGACCAAGATTCACAATATATAGTTTCTAGGCTGATACATCTCTTTTGTCCCCATGCCAAAAGGGACACAATTTAATAGGCTGTCTAGATGTATACTTGCAGTCTTGCAAGCCTATCCTATTGTATGATTTTGACAATGATCCATACATTGTCCCACTGTGAAATGTGACTGATCGTTTAATGAAATCCATTGAATACATGGTTATTAACTTCGAATCAATCATGTCAACCTAATCAAGAAATCGATGAACCATACCTCGATCATATTAGGATAATTCTGTAGATGAACCTGGGTTCAACCGAATGAACCAGCCTTGATCGGGTTCGATTGAACAAAGCAATCCGATTAGTGACCCGTAAATAATTTTACTCAAAAAATTATTTGATCATGTAAATATTTTTGAGGTTTTATTAATAAAACATTCTTATACATAAAGATTGATTCAGTGGTCTAATATTGACCCTCTAGTCCGACTAGTGGTCCCATAGTTTGGCCGGGCCAATGTTAGGGTTAGCTTGGTAACTGTAGTTCAATGAGATTAGCATGAGCTCTAGCTTAGACCATCCTCGGAATTAGTGACTCAGCTAATATTGTGGGTCGATCTGAGTCTCAATCTGTCATTTTTTCTCTTTTTTATTTTGAACAATTCAATACGTTTAAATTAAGCAATAATTGAAAAAAGAAATTAATATGCTCATAGACATGTTTGTAAATTACACTATTAAATTGTTTATGAAATATAAAAAAACAATTTATATAGTAATATGTATTGACAATAGAAGATGCATCACTATTATTTGAATTAGTATTCTAAATGACATAATGCGTGATAATACGTGAAGACCAGCCTATTGGCTAGGTTAGATTAGACGAGGCATAAGTATAAAAAAGCGTAAAAAGACTTTTTTTATTTTAATTTTTAATCAATCAAAAAATTATTTAATAATTAAAACTAATACCTACCAAACATTTAAAACACATTTAATTTGTTGGTTAGCCAGGCGAGATGTTAATAGTGTAGCATACCCCCTTGCTTTTCTAGAACAGTTATAGGGCCGTGATTGCTCATTCTTTATCAAAAAAAAGAAAAAAAAAGGTTGAACCCCAACCTCGAGAGCCCTCACTGCCCCGCCCTTAGAGCTTTGTGAGGGAGGTAAATCGCGGGATGTGCCCCAATAGGTCAGGGAACAAGAGCTGCTTGTACACTGCGCCTACAAGGAATTCAATTCCATGTTTTAGGAATCAAACCCCCACACTGCAGCTGCCAGCAAGACATGAGATAACCCCACTCCTGTCATTTGCACCACTAAACTATGCCCCGGGGGGCTGTTCATTCTTTATCAACATATATGTGTTGGCTTAAGTATTGAATAAAGAAAATACATTCTTGAATTCAGAGAAGAAAAAAAAGGAAAAGAAAAGAAAACCTAGGTGGTCACTTAGTTTTACCTTTTAATTCTTAAATTAGGCCAATTGAGTTCGTCCTCATCAATCTCAATCCAAAATGACTCATCTATTATTGCAAATGAACTGACCAAATATAATTGTTTCCAGACTGATAAATTTATGTAATAATCTAGTTGTACAAATTAAGTGCTGGCAAGATTTAGACCATTGATTCAAAAAATCGTTTTTGAAATAATTGATCTAAATATTGTCAAATTTGTCAACCTAGTTTATACAAATAGTATAATTCTAAATTTATTGTTATAGCAACACCTCGCTTGCCCTCGGCCGGCCTTGTCCCCACCTGTATCCGTCCCTGTTCGCTACCCCATCCCAGTCCCCGTCACAGGATTTAGACAGGAAGGGCGACATTTATCTTCTCTCTATGAATGTGACCAGTCAAATAATTTTGTGCACAAGGTTGCCATCAATTAGCTTACCTTGTTTGATTTTATTTTGGGAAATTGATACAAATAGCACTAAAATTAATTATATACAACGTTATATCGCTTTTTTGTAGACTTATGCCAATGTCTGATAGAGATTAAAATTAGATTTTTAGTAAATATTGAGAAAAATGATGAAATGCGTGGTTATAAAGTTGCGAGTCTAATGAAATATGTGGTTAAAATTAATTATGTATTGTAACGTAAAGCCCCGCTTGTTTCCCATTATTAACCCATTAAAATGAAAAATATGACTGTTATAAATCACATCAAGCCGTCATATTTGACTTTTTATCTTTTGTGTGGGACCCGTAACGACTATATTTTTCATTTTCATTTTCATATTAATGTGTATCAAACTGGACTTAAATTAGAGCCTGGATTTTAATCCTACTAAATAGGAGGCTAGAATTGTGCAAGATCAAAAAAAAGTTAAAATATCGTTGGATTTTTATTGCATACCAACTATAATTTAAGTTTCTTGAACTGATTTCTTCTCATTTCGTATATCCATTGCATTTTGACATGGTTAAGCCTTCATTTGGCAAAATTTATATATCATTTATAAATAATCAAATTTTATTTTTAATCACACGTTTTAATGAACTCACAAGTGCTATTCACTTATCTATTACTCATTTTTATCTATTTATAAATTATATTATTCATAACTTCTTCCAAAAACATAGGCTAATTCAGGCATAATTTAGACGATTCAATCTTTTATCATATTATTATTATTTGGGTCTGTAAAAACTTTATTTTTTATTTTGTATACGTTCGATAGGAGATAAGTCTTCATGCCTTTATGTATTGTATTGTAAGCTTTTCTTAACACACAATTCCAACCTTTTCAATTTGATACACAATTGATTCACACTAGATAGATTAATTTTCAAGATGCTCATAAGATTGCGACAAGTGAAATAACCCAAAAAAAAAAAAGAAAAAAAAAAAAAGAGACTCAAATTACCATCTTGTAATAAACATAGATTTCTATGTATGAATTGAGCCAATTCAAATAGATTTGTTGCTCCTACATTTCTTTCGTATTCCTTATAACTAAACAATTTGATCTTCTGGACCTTCAACTGACGAACTCTAAGCAGCTGAAAGAATCTCCCTGTGAACCCAGAGATTAATTAGATTTCTGATTGCATTAATAATGAGCTTAGTCAATTTGATGGAGAATATATCTCAATAAAACACTTTTCATGTCAAAATGGCCTTAAATGCAATCAGTTTTGGAATTATTTATAATAATTTTAAATTTTAAATATAAATAGATAGAAATGAATTACGAATAAATAGGTAGTACTTATACTGTCACAAATTGTTTTGCATAAAAATTGATTTTGAGCGATAATAAACATTTGCCAAACTTTTCTCCTCACAATTGATAAGGACTAGCATTATACATGGTCCTGTTCTAGAGGGAATCAGATCGAATTAGAATTTTCGACTATTTAGTAAGTAGAACCGTCAATTATAAATTTAATTATGGAACTAAAGTAGTTTGATTCCATTTGATTTGGTTCGATTCTATTTGGTTTCACACCATAATTAAATTCTTTTAATATTTAGAATAACACTATATTTATCCATCTAATGTAATATTCAATATGCAAGGCATACCAAAAGAAAGGTGAAACTACTAAGCAAAAAAAAAAAAAAATAAAAAAAAATGGAGGGTGAAAATAGAGAACAAGGAATGTAGCTACTGAGAGTAAGGAAAACATGTAAATTGCGAGCTCACAATAAACATCTTGAAAACTAATTATAATTTGTAATGTTTATACATTGAGTGTGAGAAATTATTATGAAGGAATGAGATAAACTTACCTTGATAAAAGTGGAGGAAATTCAATAAATATGACAGAAAAAGGTTAAGATGAAGAGGTGTAGATACTCAACTTCGGTTATTTGAGAAATTGCAAAATGATTGAGAAAAATTTTGGTCCTCAATTTTGGTTATTTGAAATTTGAATTACAAAATTGAGCTTGGGCTGAGAGCAGGGAAATGATATTTTGGGCTCAATTAATTAGATGACAAATGAAATGTGAAAATTATATTTTTGGGCTCAATGATTAGTTGGCAAATTTATGTAGCATAAATAATAATAATAATAATAATAATAATAATAATAATAATAATAATAATAATAATAATAATAATAATTTGGCTTGTTGACGTCAAAATTAGCAAGGCTAATCTTAACCCAACCTTAAGAAAAAATGGCGATTTATTATTGAAAAAAAGACCACAAAATATGTTTAGAGAGTTTAATAATTCCTTAGTGCCAAGCTCGGAACTCGAGTTGTCGAATTCTCCTGTGATTGGTCGATGAGGCCGGTGGTCATGCGTCAATGTGTTACCCAGGTAATGATGACCTGCAAGGGACTGGAGTTCGAGGACTTGGAATTGGTTGTTCCGGGCGGCGATGA